ATATGACATCCCCGACAATCCGTGACACTATCTTCCATAGTGAAATCCCCAATTCTCCCTGTGAGTACACAATTGTATTCCATTTTATTAACAGTCAAGAAGTAAATAAGACCTTTGTCCCCTCCTCAATCAAACAAATTCTTATTTTTTCGAGGTTCAAAACCCTGCACCATTAGGAGTCGGATCTTGTAATAAGTGTTAAAGATAATTTATAATCCGAATTTCCAAATCCAAATAGGACCACAAGCCTCAATTGTTTAAATTTACGTGGGGACGACATCACGTACCATCGAGTGAATTTCACGGCTGTAAAAAAATCGAATAGAAATTGCATCCCATTTGCAAATTCCAACGTCTCAACAATCTACGTCAAGATCAATTGAAAGTTTCGCTAACTTTTAGTGGTTAGTCGGGAAAATCTTTTGAAAGTTTCGCAATAAAAGTCGGAGCAATTATCTGAGTGCGGTGGAGAACTAATCGAGGCGGACGTCTGCCTCATCACGGGCGGGCGTGTACAATGGAAACGATTGCTTAGCACCGCGTTACCTCACCGCGGCAGTATAAAGCTGTTCCTTTACGCTTCAGTCTTCATGTTTCGCGAATAGGGATGGCTAGACTATTTATCGATAAAATTTATTTAATACCCTTACTACCCTGCACATTGCAGCGTAGTATGAGCATTACTTACTCGACATTCGAACCCTGAACCTCGTGTCGTTAACGCAATTTTAACCATTGAACTACGAAGGCAGTCCTATTTTGCCACATGTGTTGGAGATATTTAAAGATAGTATGAGGCCGCTAGTGGCAGAGTAGCCATGCAATTTTATGACTAGTGTTATTTATATTTTCATAGTCTAAAAATGTAATCTACAAGACCACAGCCAACGAAAATTGTTACACAAATAATAGTTAAATTCATATTCGTATAAGTAAATTGTGCATTTTCCTTCATTTTCTATTTTTTTTTTTTTTTTTTTTTCCATCCATCCATGTTATATGGCTCTCAAGTTAGCCCCATGTTTGTCTGTCCTGCTATATCATTTAAAAAAATTAGCCCGTGAATATAATTGAGGACTTTTAGTTGAGATTGAAGTCTAGTAACAAAGTTAGTAGTAAAAAAAGGAATGAACAAACTTCATTGATGCAAATAGCGTTTATTTCCTATTTTAAATATGATGACTTTCGCAAAAACAAAAAAAAAATAGTGATGACTAGAAAAAACTCTAATTTTAAGCGTGTAACGTAATTAACAAAAAAAAATAACGCAAAAAGGTTTATAATACATATCACGTACTACATCGAAGTTGGGCAAGAAATAGTCGTGACAAAAGTGATAGGTTGTCGTAGATTGTTAATTAGTGTTGTATAAAGGTATCGATATAACCAATCAACCTTAAATAAGTATATTGTAGGTTAACTTTTTTAGTAGTTGTGTACGTGAGTAGTACACATTAAAAAAACCACTAACTACCAAAACGTCGGGCCGTAAAAAAAACATTCAATTAAGTTTACTTCTAAATTGTGCAAGGCTTTCACGGCCATCGTTCAACATATCATTGTTTTCGGGCTGTTCGGCCGACGTGAGCGAGAAGGGGTTCTCAACGTTTCGTTATCCCGTGTGAACGGCATCATCAGAAATGTTAACTCCTCGATTGCTCGAAGAATTATTATTATTGTCATTATTCTTCGAACAGACCGAAAGACAGTGATATGCTGAAGTTTTTTCTCATATAGTAAATTAGACAACTTACAAAAATACTATCAAATTATAGAATTATTTTAGATTTATATAATTATGAAGCCAGATTCAAACAAATAACAAAACCTTCCCATGCAATTGCACCTTCCAATTGTCACATTTAATTATTTCATTCTTTGTTTCCAAGTATTGTAAGAGTACAATAGTGTTTCTTTCTGAGTTCAGAAGGCGTGGGCAGCGAGGATTTGTTTCTGACTTGAAGATAACATTGCAATAAATTGTCAAGAACAAGCTGAAAGTAAATTTACTCAACTATGATAGAAATATAATGGGGACGAAGTGGAAAGAGCGAAACTAGACATAGTAAGGGTCACATTTTCTAGGAATTGTTAAATCTCCACACTCAAGGAAAGAGCAGTACTTACAACTAATTGAAACATTTTGTAATGGTTTTAATTACGTTTCAGATATTGTGTTACATATAGTTTTTTATTGTAAGAATATGTTTGGTGTTGTATATTGTTAAAAGGTTTATACTTAAGTAACTTCTTTAAATGTCTTCTAGGTCCTAGCTAAATAAATTTTAAATACAAATATTTGAATAAGAAAAATTGAACGTTTATTTTATTATAAGAGATTATAAAAATGTTTATATTTTCTTCTTAAGTGATTTCGTTCTTATCTACTAATATTGATCGACTACTACTATGCATCACTAACATCAAAATTACATTAGCAAATATATTTTTTATGTAACAGGAGGACACATAAGCACGGGATTCATTTATGGTAGGTGAAATAATTACTAAAATACCTACCGCAACCATACAACATTTAAATAAGATGCGTCTAGGCCTATTTTGGATATTCGGGAATCAAAACGCGATTAAATTTAAAGGTTTTTTCATATTTGGACAGTGGTTCGTGACCCGGACGCAATTTCTATATTCCTACCAACCCTTTTAATATCTAGATTTCTAGACGAAAGCCTAACGTTTCAGAAGAAATAAAAAAAAAATTGAAATATGTTTACCGGGTGGGATCGAACTCACGGCCCATTGCTTATTAGCCATAAAGTATTACAACGAGCCCATTATTTTTTTTATTAAAAATACATTATACACAATATTTATATTCTTTTTTGTTTTTTTTTTTTATTTTATTTTAAGGGATGTCCTTACAAAAAAATCCCCGCAATCCAATTGGCATCCTCATTAGCCCGACATGACGTTGCAAACATGACAATTTGATTGGCCTCGTCTGATCACGCACCTCATTAGTCCTGTAGTAAATTGCAGTTTATTTCATATTCTAGTCGTTAAAATACGGACGACCCTAGATCGACGGCAGTGGTGCCAGCCACAGTGTAATTGCTTCGCGAGCAGTTTGTCGGCCAATTAAACACCTTTGCTGTATTAAGAAGCCGCGGCGAGCGTAAATAGCGATCAAAAGGCAGCAATTTCAAACTGTTGCCTTTGAAAGCTGAGTAAGTTTGATTTCATGAGCAAGTCTTGGTGTTTATGACAAACATTGATGGAAACGTTGCCACATTTTAATTAAGCATCCCTTTTTTATAGAACACAGATAATTATTGTGTCACTTGATGGAAGGTGAAGTACGTCGGCCATAGAACATATTGTAAACAAGATGATTGGGTGTAAATTTTATCGGAAATTGACAGTTTGAAACCGTAACTTGATAACATTTGACTGCTTTTTTATCTGTGGACGGTGATTCTTGACCCTGACGGAAAAATTATAAATTGTTTAGAAAAATGTTGGACCTGGTGGGGATCGAATCAACGACTGTTGATTCGCCATACTTTGCATTATACTAGCAAGAAACAGAAAGCCATCCATATAACATATAGAACACAGACTGTTTAAAAAATTGGGTGTAACATGTTTTTAGAAAAAAAAAAATCGAATCCACGACCTTCGTTGTTTACCATTCACACATCAAATTATTTATCAACAATAGCTAAGTTTTACAATTAAAAAATAACATTACCATATATTATGAACCATAATCAAAACTCATCCGACCTAGTACCAAAAGAGTACACAGTATTTGAGTAAGGAAATTTTGATAATAGTGTAGAGTGAGATAGATGGGCTAAAACACTTAGATAGTATTTTCAGATCTACCTGTTTCGTCTACGTAACGCATACATATATAAAAGAAAAGGCTTGTAGAGATACGTAGAGCAACCTTTAAATTAGAAGTAATACATTACTTTCTTAGACAACTTAATTCTGAACAAAAGATGCGACGGTCGACCGTTATATGTAATCTATTCAAAGTTCGTAATAAGAGCGAGTATTCTTGAGTTGTAATGAAAAGGATTATTGTTTTAGTTTTATCTCAATCTAACGATATAAACGTTGGTGTGGGATAGTAAGGAACAAAAATGAATGGAGTCGACGCACAAATACATTTTTAATAGCGTAATCGTATATATTATCTTTATTATATAACTAGGACGATTAAAGAGTTGAAACATATCCATAGAAAATATAACATTTTAAAACGTCTTTAGTCTTGTCAGTAAATCGAATTTAAAAGATTTTCAATAAATATACATGACCATCCTTTCTAATAATAAGAGCAATATCTCTTAAATGTAGCTTAAAACAAAATAATATTACATTATTTTAACTAACACTTGTCTTGTGTGTGAGCAATATTTCGCCTAAACGCATCTCAAATTGATACTTTTTTTATATATAATACTAATGTTATAAAGCTGAAATGTTTGTTGGTTTGAACGCGCTTATCTCGGGAACTACTGATTCGAATGAAAAAAAATTTTTCTATTAATTTATCGAGGACGGCTTTATTTTGACTATAAGATCACGTTATGACCAATATGAGCCAAGAAACAAAGGAAAAGGGAACAAAGTGGAAAATTATTCATCTTTGAGGTACGTTGCGTACGCTGGGAAAACAATTTAAGATACCTAAAAAATATTTCCAAAAGAATGATTTCCCTTATGTATATTTTTAGGACAAATTATAATATAAAAAAAATTCGATCTCAAAGATTTCCGCGACAAAACATGTCTATCTTTTAAGATTATTTGCAAGAATGACGGTCCGAGAACGACGTCGTGGATAGCTATAACTTATAAAGATGGCAAGGAGGTTCGTAAAAACAAATTCTTACGTCTAAAATAACAAATGAAGTCGCTACCACCGGGCGTGCGTTTAATAATAGTTCGAGTTCCAAATTACATATTTTTTTAATTCTTTTGTTTTCATTACTAACTCATTATTAAGTCAAGCATTATATAATTTATTAACTGGCAACTCCACTCCACCCCAGTTCTGTCATCTCTTGGGCACGAGACGGCGACATTTCGTGGTCTCCGTCATTAATTATCCGCCGCTCTTTGTCCTTTAGTCCACCAGTCCATTGTGACAATATTCGGGTCTCGCCTTCAAACAATGAGCCTGATGGATCCACGCAATGAGAAATAGAGCAGGTAACGCCTGTAATAAAATTTAATTCACTAAATATAGGGACAGTCATTTAATGTATTTTCATTTTAAGTGTTATTTAATGCCTCACATTTTCAAATCAAGTCAAATCAATTTAATCCACACACACAAAAGATACAATAACGTTTGACTTTGGGCTCGTTGGTCTAATGTTAGCAAATTATATATAAATTTTCTGAGACATGCTGGCCTCCGTCTGGAAATCTGGACATTAAATGGGTGGTAGGAATATAGAAATTCCGTCCAAGTGACGAACCACCGTCCACAGATGAAAAAGCTGTGAAGCTTAATCGCGTTTCGGTTTCAGGCTGTGTGTCAAATAGGTCAACAGCGTGTCTTGTTTAAATGCTTTAGGTTGTGGTAAATTATCTATCAAGTGACCGCATGCCGTGTCTGTCCCTCTCTAACATTAACAAAAAGATGGACACCACCCAGCTTTTTTTGTACCTGGAAGTACAACGCCATTAGCGATACCCTACGTCTTCTTCAAATGTCAACATTTGAAGTAGAACAATTTCAGAATTTCCCCATGTTATTGCATTAATATGATTGTATTATATAAATTAGAAATCTATTTAGAATGGAAAAATTTACTGACTCGGGCGAGACATGAACCGCCATCCATATTGCTGATGGTCTAACCACTTGGACGGTCGCTCTGTTGGTTATAGCAGCAGCACTGAATGGTATTTCACCTCCCATTAAGTGACTGCCATGCTTACCTGTCCTCCTCCATATAAAAAAAACGTATTTGTTAATAATCTTCAAACTAATCAGCAACTTCTAAAAGCAAAACACTGTTACAAGTTAGACTTATTACGTGAGCAATCGTAACTTGTCTAATAAAATGATAGAATAAAGGAAGTTTGTGATAAACAAGTTGCTACTGTAACTTTTTACCCGTTTGTACAAAGGTACAAAGTTATGCTTTGGAGGCTGTATATAATATTATATAAAATAAGAAAATTCCAGAAAATTACTATAAATACATATTATAAGCAGTGTGAGTCTTAAATCCTATGTATTTTCAAATGAAAAATAAAAATATTGAGCAAAGTTTTGGGAAATAAGTATTGCTCTTTTTGTAAGTTCATTTAAAAATATATAGGTATTATGAGGCAATAAAATATAATGCATCACGGACGATACGACCGTCCGAGGTGAGTTTGATTACTGCTCTCATAATAAAAATTAATATGGCTTTTAAGTGCATTAATATGTAAAAAACTTGAAGTATATATATTCGTATTATTGCTCACTATATAATAAATATTTACTTAATACTACATTACATACAGCCTTTCCCCCGCTGGGACAGGCGACAAAAGTTACCTGCCTGACCGACACCGACCGAATTTTATAGGGAGTTGAAAACTTTTAGCAATATACATTTTCACTTTTCATATAAAAACAGTAACCGTTTGATAGTCTTTCCTTAGAGGAACATAGTCAACGTGCATACTCCATTTTATTATGTTTGTATGTGTAATACAATTGTTCGCCCTAATGAACCGACCAGACTCAATTGCTATTAATTGCCAAACGTGCTTCGGGTACAAACGCGACTCATTGTAATTAGATCTCTGTTGAGGTCTTAATTCAGTGAAAAACATATACACGCTTTGATTGGTATGGTTGCATTTGCAAAAGGCACAAAGAATATGTGTTTTTACCTTTAGAGAAATATTGCCACTACTAAAACTCACTTTTATACTAAATTTATATAGTCTATATACTTTTAAAAGCGTTAACAAGATTGTATTTTTAAAGACGAAGTTATACAAGAGCCAAATAGGTGATAATTTATTCTTAGAACTTCAGATTAGTACTTACTACTTCTAGGCTTTATGATTTTTAAATTTCGCCCTTCTCGGTATAGACAACATGTAAAAGATTAACTGTTACAGAAAAAAGACTGACAAAAGAAGAAAAGATAAACATGGAATTTGATCTTCTTGAAGAGTAGCCATTTAACTAAAAAATGCTGTCGATCAATTTTGACTCTAGATATACCTTCGCTCTACTAGCAACCGCCTTCTCTCCATGCCGATACACTCGTCAAAGTTTTATGACTCTTCTTTTTCGGTACAGGCTGTCCGCCTATGGAATAAGCTACCACTCACGGTCAGACTCTCACAGAGTCACACTATATTTAAGGTCAAGCAATACTTTTTTGGTAATGCTGTTTAGCCTTGGTCTCACTGGCTTTAGAATTAATCACATTTAGGATCTTCATATACTTTTCTAGGTGTTAATTGTTTACTAAAATTATTTTTTTATTTCTTATTTCTACCTTTTTTCAACCTTTGCATAGGTTGCCTGGAAGAAATCGCCATAGGCGATAAGGCCGCCTTTGCACAAACATGTTTTATTTTGTATATGTAATTCTATGTATCCATGTTCTTATGTCTATGTTTGTGCAATAAAGAGTTTATTATTATTATTATTACAGAAATCAACAAACCGATATCTGTAAATTTGATTATCTATCTATATATTCAATTTTTTATAATCGCATTACCAGCGACCTCTTCAAAACTAAACTTGCGAATGTCAAAGTCTAAAAATTCTTTCGTCACCGCAATAGTACCTGTAGAACTTCTAACAATGGATAATCACATCCGTCTTCACAAATAAAACGTAGCGGCTCCACTAAGACAAATCCTCCACCCGAAATCGAACAAGCGAATGAACGAGTCCAAACATCGTTCACAAAGCGACGACAATTCGTGCGAAATTGTTTTCAGCGGATTAAAGGACTGTCTTAGTTGCTACAATGGACCAGGGGACTGTTTATAGACTGTCACTCGCACGGATGTAGCCACAATGAATCGCTTTTCAAGCAAAAATTGTTTATTTAATAACAATAGTCTTACGAGCGGCGTTATTTGCTTCAATAGTTGCGTCTTCTTTTGATGTTGTTTTATGGAATTTGTCGTTTGGAAATGTGGATAGTATAGTGACGTGTTGGTTTAGTTGTGTTACAATTCCTGGACTTATATTGGGCTGTCAACTTGAAGTAAATCCACGCATTCAGCTGGTTTAAGCGTGAACGAATTATGATAATTATAATTCACAATTAACGTCCCTAGATAGATCCAAAGACTTCCATACATAATTATCAATAGACCGCCTCTTTAGCTCAATAGTTAAACACACAAAGTTCTGGGTTTGAGTCCCGTTGAAATGATAAATTGTTTCGGATATGCGGAGCATATAAATCGGTCGGTGAGACTGGCAGAACTTCCTCTGCCCCACTGGGCTGGGGGAAATGGATCAAAGCATTACATTATCCTTTAATTATTCTCCTTTGACATCAGAATATGGAAGAATTTTCTAAATTCCTTGTATTAAACCTTATCAAATCTTAAATACAGGTCATTTAATGGCATCGTGACATAGCCATGGGAATTTTATAACATTCTCTGGTCATTATCGAGAACATTAGCCACACACGATGTCCTTGTTGAAGCAATTGAAATAATACTTAACTGAATTCTTAGAGAATCAGCATTTTGAATATGACTCAGTCTATTTAGAGGTTAACGTTAATTAATAAGTCAAGAGCAAAGCTGGATATAATGTAAACTTTACAGCTATTAGTAGTCATCATTCATCATTCATCATCAGCATTCAAACAAGTTGTAGTATATGGTTACACTACAACCTGTTTGAATCTTTTTTTATTATAAGTCTATCAAATATATAAGTTTTAATTTAAAATGTTCTATTGGACATAATGCCTATGACGCATCGTAGATAAAGTAATTATACTTAAACCAATTCTTACTGGGGAAATCCTTTCGGATAGGTAATTAACCCTTCTACTGTAAGTATTTTTAACTTTAGAGTCCCGGATAGATTCGACTAAAAAAGGTATATGCATAGGCTAGTTTTTAAAACTTTAATATTTTTCACATGATGGCACAATATAAATTTAAATTGTGCCCCCATTCAACCGAATTTATAAAAAAAAATTACAACAAGACAGGTGGAATTATCAATTGGTTAGCAACAGCACAGAACGCTGTGGATGCCACTCGAACGTGAAGTCCTGCCCGTGTTGGATTTTTTTTTCTAATCTAAAATTTGATTTTTAGTCTAGACAAGTTTAAACTATCGATTCTCAATCTTAAAATAACTTAATTAAAACGGGGATGTAGCAAATTAAAGGTTATATATTTTCTAATTAATCCTTGTAGTATTTGGTTCTTTGCATGCCATGTACTTGTTGTTAAATAAAGTCCCCTGCCAAATTTTTGTTAACATTTTCCTCATCTGACATCTTGCCTCGAGAAACTGCGCATAAGCAATTGTCTAGAAAGCGCGCATGCCCGATAATAATCTGTAGTCAAAACACGTGCTACCACAAAGATCATAGATAAATTGAACAAAAAGCATTTTTCTGCCTTAAAAGTGACTTTATCCTCTTTCAATCTGGAATCTGTTCGGCACACATTTGTAAACCTTTGTACCTTATCTTCTGGATTAATCACTGCAGAAAGCTTTGGGTCCCAAACCGCGGTTTTTTTCAAGGACCCTTAAATAAACTTCCCTTTAACTTGAAGGACAATTGATGCTTTCTTAGGAAACTTTTGTATAATCTACGTTTATCTGCTGGTTGATATCGGCAATTTACAACGCATTATATAGGTAGGTATATACAAATTACGTGAATTTAAAATTTAATTAAATACTCCAACAGGCGGGAATCAAGGCCATGTGTCGCAAGTCAAAATGAAGGACGAATTAGGCATTTAATCTTGCTAGATTATTAGTTTCTTTCGATTTTTGATTTCGAACAATGAGATAGTGCCTTAATTATATTTAGTTGTATGTTAATGCAGGCGTTAAAAGTACTCAATTCAATTTTAATGACCAAGCAGAAAGAGTCGCCAAAATTTTTAATAGAAACTTGGAAATGCCTGCCTGCATCACGATATTAAATAAAACATTTTTAACGCTTTGAAACGTTAAATATATTTATCACCTAATTTTTATTTTTTATTTTAACTGCTTCCCGACGTTTTGCATGCTTTAAAGCCATGGTCACGGAGGAATTAAGAATAACTAATATCCACGTTTTAATCAGTAAAAAATGTTTTCTTGAGTTGTTTGGCTTAAACTGTCATTCAAACGTTAGTATTTTATTTCAACTATTAATAAAAGTTTGGCAAATCCGATTGTCAGTTGTTACCAGAACAATATAATTTCAAAGTAGGCGTGTTTTATTTATAGCATTCACACACCCGAGGGTGAAAAAATGTCTTTTCGAAACCCCACCATTGACAGATTAAACGTTTGATTATGCCTATATCTATTTAGGATTGAATCGTGTGTATTATTATAAAAAATATATACTACATAAATAAACCGATTTGGTTTAAAAAATAATTGCTCTAATAAAAAGTATAGTTAGAAGAGTTAGCCAATGGTACACAGTAATAAAACAATCACGGCTTGATTTACGAATTATGTAATATATATAGTATACACATAGTTCACCATGTAAACCGTTAATTAATTTTATCTACATCATTTCGATCGCAAAGACACTACGTAGCCACGACTGTGGAAAGCGTCTGAAACTTCGTATCGTAGTTTCAATTAAACTAATATATTATTTTTTTTTAAAAGCCTTTAAATTACTTATGTTATTTACTAGTCAGCGACAAATATTATGTTTTGAACGTTTGTCATTAAGACCACGTTTCAAATAGATAATTAAATTAATTAAAGACGCACGTTTTTCTGACAAAGAAATAAAAACGCGTTTCTCACAACTATAACTTTTAATTATTGCAATAACTTCTTTTCAGTAAATATTCAAAATACGAACAAGTCTAATTGGATGGAAAAAAAAACTATAATTTGTGAACGAAAAAATTTAGGACAATTAATTTCATACTAACTTTGTTTAAACTTTATTTGCGTTATGATGTAACTGTAAGGTGCACACGAAAATGGTGTTTCAGGTTCGATATATATTTTATTGATAAATGAAACAGATACATATATGTGTCTGCCTAACAATGATAAAGTGGGATTACACTTTTATATATCAGCATTAACCGAGTAATTATAATGTGTTTTTTTTTTAATACACACCACCTAAGCATGATGCGCTGCCGACCCGGAGGCTTTGTGACCCGGAGGGAATATCTATATTCCTACCACCCATTAATTATATCCAAATTTCCAGAAGAAGAAAACTTATAAATTAGGTTTTTGACCTGATGGGCTTCGAACCTTCGACCCGTTGATTATTAGCCTTACATCGCTGCCATGGGACCAACGATCGTTAACGGTTGTGCTTCAATCTTATCGATAAAAGTATGTACCACTTGCTTATCGATTATCGCACAGTCAATAAACGCCTGCCCGAAGTCTATAATATTAATGGAGGCAGTGTTAATAATAACGGCTATTTGCCACGCTTTTGTCAATGTGGGTTTGAATGGCGGACCGTGGGCGCGTCATTATTCTGTCAGGGAATCGTAGCGATATTGTGTTTTAGACAGCGACTAGTGCTGTGCCATTGCCGTATCGATAAAATTATTTAGTGCACAAATAAGTGCGAGGCAAAAAGCGAAAATGCAAGATGCATTATTTTAATGATCTACCTACTTGATTTAAATAGTAATTACTAATCAATATCAAATTAAAGAACTATTCAATAACGATTTACCTTCCTATTGTTAGAATGAGTAACTTTATCGATACTATTAATATTATTAAACTTAACATTGGCAGTATTATTTTATCTGTTTTTTTTTTTTAAATAAAGACCTAAAAAATAACTATTCCTTTAAATTAAATTTACAGCACTATTGTTAATTTTGGAAATCTCTTTACATTTACATTACCAAACAACGCTACTCTAATGAAGGTTGGTGGGGTTAGACAGCTAAACATGTAATCCAGGTCCCAAACACGGCTAGTAGCTAGAAATTGACATAATTTAAATCCTACTACCCACATAAATATTGCCTTCTCGGTAGCTAGACATTGGATCTCGTGATCTGAAGTTTACTGAGATATAATAAAATGATCGATACAATGTACAGGCACATCACTAAAAACTTCGCAGCGTTCCCACATTTTTTTTGTATAATCCAAAGGTACAACCCATAGGGATTACGAAACAATATGTGCAAGCGCAGGCCACACATCTTCTCGCAACTAGACTTTTTTGCAGACACACTTAATGGGATCCCAAAAATTTTATTGTACAACGCACAAACTAAGCAAACAATTTAACATGCATCGTTTGATACCATGGTACCATTTTGAGTTTGGAATATATTAGTTTAATATTTCTGTATTTTAAAAGTCTTTTTACATTTTTATTATAATTACTCATTTTTATAAAATACTCTACCAAAGTGCGATGTTTATGAATAATAATTTTCCTTATTTCATATTTTTAGTTTATTTAACACAAACAATTTAATAGGCACAAGCCTTGCCTTCGAAGCGCGTTTAAAGCATTGGTTGTAGTTCATTATTTAGCACACAGATGGCGTTATAGGAACGATTATATTTAATATTATTTTAACCCTGAGATTTTTCAATATATAAGCTATTATATTCATATATTTATATTATTTATATAATATAGCAACACAAAAATTACCTGCAAAATATTTTAACACTGCGTTGTAGATTATGATAAACGCTTTGATAAAAAATAATGTAGGAAATTTCGCGTTACAAAAGAATTTATAATTAAAATTAAACTCGAAAGTTTTTAGATAACGTCACTGATACTCAAACAAATCTAAAATGAGCCTCGATCCATTTCGTGAGTTTTATCGTGAAGACGCAACGCTTATTTGTATACGTTCATTGGAAAACTTTTTTCCCACCAATTTATCAGCCACGGATAAAACTTTGCTTGATGATAATATTAATAAGTCATTCTTCTTATTTTATTATCTCTTAACAAAATAGTACACAATATAAGTACTTATTACGAATTTAAAATTCGTTAATGTAACGTTTTCAAACAAAACATACATATATTTAGAACAAAATTTATAAAGAATACTGCACTAAACAAATTAAATAGTTATTGATCAGAGATTAATCAATTACCCAAATAAAAGGTGAACCTTAGGTGTGACCCAACAACTGTGTTTATTACATATTACAAAGAATTACAATTTTAGTAGATAAATTAAATAACTGAGGTGTTTTATGAAAATAATCTTAGAAGTATATTTATAACTTTTAGAACCGATAATTGTAATAAAAATACAGACTATAGCTGTATCACATGACGTGCGTATATTATTACGCAATTACCAATTATTCTCCTCATTATCCTTCCCAAATTAATGAGGTAGATTTTTTTTCCGCCTACCTTCTAAGGTCACAACAAGGCGTTTTTGTTGTTACTTTTAATAACCTTTAATTTACTGAACTATCGTATAGATCAACATATGAACTGTTTAGTCTAGTGAAATATGATTGTGTTTAATTATTGATATTAATTTAATATGATACTGAACGTTTTATATAATTCTGAGTTGAATATATATTTACGAGCTCGTTAACTAATGTTAGCCAACCAATAAGCAAATTCTAGTGGGATCGATCCCCACAGTCCAACACGTTTCCAATCAATTTGTAGGTTTCCTAAAAAAAGTTAGACTTCTGGAAATCTAAATATTAAATGCGTGGTAGGAATGTCGAAATTTTGTCCGCGTCAAAAACCACTGTCCACAGATGTAAAGCGTAAGTAAATCGTTTCGATTCAATCTTTGTATTTCCGAATATCCAAATCCAAAAAGGTGAACTATATCTTGTCGGTAAGGTTCTCAACCAGTAAGCACCATGCTTGTAAGTTCATAAAAAAATATGAGTAATTCTAAATACTTAGAACCTATGCGATTGTTTGAAAGCTTACAGAAAAAAATAAATGTAGTCAGAGACACGATTCTTTTAATAAGTTCCTTTAATTACTATAAACAAACGATCAACATTAGCAAGTTTTAGAAGACTTTAAAAATCTAGTTTTGAAGTTGACAGAGTCTATTCCTATAACATTCTAATTTGTTATAAAAAGATGAAGACCAAGTATCAGTCTTTTATAGTGATTTAACAAAACGGGGTAAAAATAAAAGAAATATAGTAAATAATTTTAACAACCAATAATGTCACTATGAGGTCTTTGTTTAGTGCACATATACACTACAGAAAAGAATGTATTGGTTTTACTATCATTTGATCACATAATGCATTAAAATTTATCTATATATACTTATATATAAACCTGAAGAGTTTGTTTGTTTGTTCGTTTGAACGCGCTAATCTCTGGAACTACGGGTTCGAATTGGAAAAATAGTTTTGGTTAGAGCATGTAGCGAGGAAGGCTTTAAAACATTGCGCTGAGACTAATAGGAGCGAAGAACAAGTGGGAAATGTCGAGAAAACGGGGAAAATTATGCACGTTTGTGGATATAAATTGCATAATATGTATCAAAGAATGATTCGTCTTTAAATGATCTAAAAAAATACCGTGTAATGACACGGTATTTTTTTAAGATAAACCTATCTTTTAAGATAAACTTGCAAGATCGACGGGATGCGACCGACATCGTGGTCGTGGTCAACTTTGATGCCCAAAATAACTATTATACGCGGACGGAGTCGTTGTTACAGCAAGTTTTCTCATAAAATGTAATTATATTAATATAATATTCAATTTATCCCAGGTTTTATTAGTCACATCGTTTAAACAATACGATGACAAATATTAATCATCCATAAGAGTTTTACGCAGGAAGTATTCAGAACATTTAAAGAAAAAGTTAATTAGTCATAATAATAGACATTATGCCTTAATTACTTTAATATTCAGTTTATGAATACTATAAATCTAATGGAATCTGCTGAGTACTTCACAAGGATTTTCTTCTTCGGACTCGTTGGTTGTGGATAAGGAATTTGTGACAATGTTATCGCCACTGAGTATTTTGATTTTCTCCACGCTTTTAGTGAATTTCGCTCAGTGTGGTAAGTTTAAACAATTTTGTACATATTTGCCATATGTTTGCTCAAAATAAGGATTATACAAGACACGACAACGCACACGCCGCGTTACATCGATAGACTTGTTCGTCGACCAAAACAATTATTTAAGTGTAGTTTTTAGACGGGGTCGACCAAAGGCAGCATATGTGTGGCTAATTAACGGGTCGTAATTTCGTATCCCACCGCGTGCATCATGTTCATATTCAATTCATCATTTTTATGAAATATTGGACTTCGTCTGTAAATCTTGATAAATATTAAAAGTGTGGTAGGAATATCGAAGTTCCGTCCGGGTCAATCTATCATAAAAAAAGTTTTGGCATTATGTTAGCGTATTACATTAACGTAAATTTTAGGTCGATGCGTTTAGGCACGACTGTGTAAAATATTCACTCCGGCATGCAACTTCAAAAACCTTTAATAATGGCTTTACGAAGGTCTTGAACCGACCTCTCCATTTATCTGGTTCTGCTAACTAAATTGTTCATCTCTTCCTATTGATTTACTTGTAAAAAATTTAACAGTCGGATTGTGATTTAAAAGTAAAATATCGGCTGAATATTGGACTGAAAAACAGAATTTTTTTGTTGTCACAAATACGATATTCGATTACGCTACGATCGATTGTTTTAGTCGATATATTGTGATCTGTATTATACATGAAATATGTTAATTATTATTAAATTCCGCCAACTGAAACTGGAACAGCATCCATCCTGCTGTTTCAACCATCTCTTTTTTCCGCAAATTACCTTAATGATATGAAAGTATAAAAAGATACATCTTCTCATTCAGTTCTGTCTTCATATTTATTCTTCTTATCTATACAATATACAATTTTTTTTTTTAACATATTATTCGAACTTATGAACGACCTTTATTTTAATGTTTATTTAATTTAAGTCGGGACCGTAATTAACTATTTGTACAAAATTCGATTTATTTCTTTTTATACCTTATATTTTGATCATTAATTATTATGGAATTATTATTTTAATAAATATTTTTCTAGCATGCATACAACAAATAATAATGTTAAGGATACTTTCTTATATTTTTTATGATAGATGAAGTATTCCTTTTATGGAAGATAACAATATAACATCTAAATGAGAAGCGCTGCCGATATATGCCGATATATGTGGGTGGTGGTCACGAACCACCGTTCACAGATGAAAATTAGTCGTAAATATTCCTACTTATTTTACTTAAACTTTTAAATAAGTACTTATTCAGACGAAGACAATTTATAATTCGAAAATTATAAATTGATGAAATATGAACCCGGTGGGGATCGTAACCTCGGCTCATTTATTATTAGCCATACATTGCCACCTCGTCTAATGACCAACGAGCCGGTAAAAAGGAGTTTAGTTAAGTAGTTGGCCCTGGAACATTAATAATTAAAAAAAAAAAAAGAAAACCACTCAATTATTGTAAGGACTATATTATTTACAGGTATTCTAGCACCATGCCACATCAACGATCAAACCTGCTTCGAAAAATCCGTTAATGCAGCGCTCCCCCAGCTTCTATCTGCAGACCCATCCCTGGGCATCGACTCCTCTGACCCTCTGGCAGTGGCCACCATCAGCGGAGATTTCCCCATGATCAAGTTCACTTTGATGAATCCTGTAACAACTGGATTTAAGAATTGTGACGTCAAGAATCTGAAGTAAGTTTGCTTATTAATAATATTTTTTTAAATTTAAAAAATATGTCCGCGAGTCTATCTTAAAAGATAATTGAAGATAAACAAATTATACTGTCAAATTGCAAGATATACGGAACGCGTATGACGTCGTGGGTCCCACCTAAAATTTTGGATGCCCAAAATAACAAAACAAAATAACTTTTCCCAAGTTGCAGCGTTTCTGTTTAGGTCTTGACCCGTTAATGCAGCGTACGCAACGGAAACGCACAAAGATGTATAATTTTCCGCCCTTTTTCCACATTATCCACTGTTTTTCCGCGCCTACGAGTATTAGTCGCAGTGCGATGTTATATCGCCTATAGCCTTCCTCGATAATAACTCCAACTAACACAAAAATAATTTCTCGATTCCCAGCATTAATTCCTGAAATTAGCGCTTTCAAGCAAACAAACAACTCTTTAAAAGAAGCTCTTTTTTATATCTTAAAAAGCTTTATATATTACTACAGATTGAAGGAAAACCGGGACTCAAACGACCACAGCATTTTGCTCTTCGCTCTAGCCGTAGCTCTAATACATGAGTCATATTCATATCCTCTGGGTCTGTTTTAAGCTTCTTTAACCGCAGTACCATGAAAATTATAAGCTGTTCTTTACTTCCAGCATTAACTTAGACGCTGAAACTTTACACTTCGATCTGAACTGCCCAAGCCTTCACACAACGGGCAAATACGACATTTCCGGTCGTCTCATCTTATTGCCTATAGAAGGGAATGGAGACTTCGACATGACAACTGGTAAGCCACACTTAAAGATTCAATTACTTAATTGACATTAGTTTTAGTTTTTGATGCAGCTGTAGAATGTAAAGCTGGTTATGATTTGTATGAATAGGTGAACTAAGTTTGTACTTTATACATCTTATTATTATTTTTTTATTATAGGGGAGGCAGACATAGCATAGCCTTTACGTGATGTATGGTGAAATAGCCTACTCGTATAACATCTTAGCAAGATATATTGTTGATCTATTTTAAAAACACTAAAGAAAGCACTACTAAATGTGATTTCTACCTTTTCCACTTATTCATAGTGATAATGAATGATACAAGAAATTATTAAAAAATACATCAATCTTTCCTAATAAAATTCACTATTTGTATTTTAATTTCAGGCCAATACAACACTATTGTTGACGCTGAACTGAAACAAGTAAAAGGCGCTGACGGTAAAGCTTACCTTTCCATCAATAGTTTCAAACTGAAGAACCAAGCCCTTGGGCCCATCAAATTCGATTTCAAGAATCTGTTCAACGGAAACAAGGAACAAGGTAAGGAATTAGCCATCTTTGAAAGTAATAATTTTCTTACATCATGGCATTGTAAACATTAATGTGGATTATACTTTAAAAATGCTAAATGTATATAATTATAAATTGTGGGTAGTCTAACAAAAAGTTTTAATTCTTACATTATTATTTTATCAGTATTCTGTAATATTTACAAGTAAAGTACAAAGGACAGTTTAATAGTCGTATTGTTCTAAAAAATATGGTAATATACAATATCATGAAGATTGAAGATTACTAACACTAAGCATCTATTTCGTTTACAGCTAGCAATTTGATCAAATTCGCCAACGAGAACTGGAAGGATGTCGCTGATCTACTTCAAGATCCAGTGTGGTATTCCAACATGAAGAAAATCATTGGTAACGTCGACAAATATTTGAAGACAGAGCCCATTGATGAAATCTTCTTGCCCTAAGAAGTTTCTGAAAGAATCTTTTGTAAATTATGTGGATGATATTATCATTTGATAGAATTAGATTTATTTTAGATCTTTTAAGGTATTTAGAGCTTATGTAAAGTTATACTTGTATAGCATGACAGAGTTGTTTGTTTATTGTGTTTTATATTTATGTATGTTAATAAATTCGTTTATAAATGATACTAATTTTATTTAAGGTTATCCTTGCATTTAAGATATTTATTATACTTTGATAATTCAGAAAAAGATTTAGTTATAAGATTCTGCCTTTTGCAAACATTTTGTCTTTATGTAAAGCACGAAATTCTAGATTAGGATCAGTGTGGTGAACCAAAACCGAAAGTAACTTTAATCTTAAAACATACAAAGCAACAAGAAACTGCTATATAAAACTAGTACCCAAATTAACAATAGTTTTCGAGTTAAATAGTAAAATTTAACAAGGAATCTTACCCATTGCAATATAACGTTAGTCTTGGAATGTACAATCTAACTTCACACAGTGCCACAAACGGGTCAACAAAGCTCCAATAGTTTAGATGAAACTTTGAATAGTTACCACCTAGATCCATTATTAACTTGGCTAGTTCTAAGTGCTTAGGAACTTAAGTTCCGATTAAATTACTTGAGCTGATAATTTGAAATTAAGTTCACCGTTAGAACTTTAAGTCACAAACCTAAATAAGGTCATCACGAGTGAATTAAGAATCAGTAAGATAGGAAACACAACATATTGCCTGTATCGCGTGTAGTTATGATGGGCACGTTAGTATAGTGGTAGCAATTATTGGTCAATAATTACTAAAAGGTCGTGGGTATCCCCACAGGGTCCAACATAGCTCTAATCAATTTATATTTTTGCTAAAACAAGTTCGACTTGTAATACGTTTAACTTCGACTTCTAAATAAAACACTTTATCGGACACGTTTCTTCGCAGCAGACGTGGTACCCGTGACACGGCTGCGCAAAGCATCCGAAAGTTGGCCGAAGTTAAAATTCATTTTCAAATAAGTTTAACTAATATATTGCGTTTTAAACCGTTAAAGTGTTTTATTTAAATGTGTACTACTCGCGTAAACTATAGACAGTATCTAAGTTCGACTTCGTCAGGAAATGTAGATTAAGTGAAGGATAGGATTATCGAAAATTCCACCGTTCACAGCTCAGAAAAATGCGGAGTTCTGAAGATACAACGGAAATATAGGACGCCAGCACATCTTAAGATGTTATGTGGCTGGCCTATTTTCACCTTCCATCAATTGAATCCCACGCTTCTCTGTCCTCCTCTATCATATTAAAAAACAAAGCACAAACATAAAATATAATTTGACTTTATAATCGCAAATGTTTATTACCCATAGGTTCATAAACATACATATGTATAATACGAAACTTGACCCAAAACCAATTAAGTACAATAAGGTTATATAATAAAAATAATTAGTTGACTATACCATGAAGTACCTACGACAATTTACATAATAACACTTGCCCGTCATAAATTATTATGAAGTATAATAGCTTTAATTTTATTTATTAAACTCTCTTGTGTATGTTATTATTGTTAAACACTTGAAGTTAACGAGGTTTAACGATATTGTTGGAAATAATTACCAAAAAGCTGGCTTAATCATTTTAAATAAAGCATTTTAATGGTGTAAAACGCGAAATATAAAAGAACTTGTTATCAATTTATTTTTTACTACCTAATCGGTCAAGAACAATGGCTGCAGTATGACGTTTAAAACAGTTAAAAGTGTTTATTTACGTTAGTAGCGCTCACGTAAATATAAGGCAATTATTAATTCAGAAGTACTAGATAAATGCCTTAAATTAAGCAATAAATAAAAAGTAGAATATATCTTGTATTGTATAAATTTCTGACAATATTTATTTATTTGAATAATTAGATTAACGAAAATAAATAGCGCAAAAAACAAAGTTATAAAATGATTGACATATTTTTTGTGACTAAGTTAAAAATACTCGAACAAAGTTCTTTTTTGCTCGAGTTTGATGGTAGTGAAATAAATTGAAATGACATATGTATCTTGTATACACAAAAACTAAGGTTGTTTACCCTTTTTATTCTCAAATCCTTCTCTTAAAAATATAATACTTAAATAAAGGTTTCAAGAATATAGACGCTACATTAATATAAAGAAATCTTCAGTAAGAAACGCAGTTAATTAGTGAGTAAATAAATAAGTAAATATTTATAAATATGTATTTAATAGCTTTAGATAATTATCTGTGATTATGACAATTATATGCTGTAATGTCAATGTTAGTTTTCTTATATATAAATAAGTGTAGAAGTGATAATTAAGTAATAAGTTTTATTTGATCATCTTATATGATGTAGATATCAGGCAAGCATTTTTTCATACTGATAGTTATGTAATAAATGTACTGACGTACGGTAACTAATCATCGGGTCGGGATTGATTCCCACTGGCTCTAAATCTTTCTAAAATCAATTTATAATTTTCATAGATACTCGTATGTCATTGGAAGATTTGGATTTGCAAAAACCGTGATTCATAATTGCTTTTACGGTCTGTAGATTTTCGAGAACTAAAATTACTTTATTACCTATTAAAAACATCCACAATTATTTTAGTTAGTGTACTAGTTTTTTAGGTACGTAACTGTGGCGCCAGGGGCCCTTGAAAATGTGCTTGTGTCAGCCCAGTGTTGCAACACAAACGTGTTTGTAAAAATATGAACTGAGTGACTCCTGTTTTAGGAATATTTATATAATAAGTCTAAATTTTGTAAGTAAATTTAGTCCATAGTTTGTATTTTTTGTGTACAACTTTTACATAAATTATTTTATTATTATCTATACTAATATATGAAGCTGAAAGGTTTGTTGGTTAGAACGCGCTAATCTCAGGAACGACTGGTTCGAATGTAAAAATTCTGTAAGTAAGTTTTAGTTAAAGTATTTATTGAGGCAGGCTAAAGGCATCGCGCTGTGACTAATAGGAGCGAAGAAACAGCAGGACAAAAACACGGTTTATATTCATCATTAAGGATCTCGGTGTGTGCGCTGATACAACGGATCAAGATACTCAAAAAATATGTAATGAAATAATGATCTCTAAATTACCTGAAAACTTTTCTGCGACGATATATGTCTGACTTTTTAACTATATTAGATTTACTAGCAAAAGGGACGGGACACGGACGAAGTCACAGACACAGCTAGTAGTTAATGCCCAAATCGTAGTATTGAGTCAAACAAACGCTTAGAAAGAAGTCTTGCTTGTTATTTTTTTATGAAACCGTTATTTTAACTGAAACTTGTACCCATGTAGTCGCATGTGTCGTTGGCCTTTACTCGCAATACTAGTTTTCGTTTTAATAATACGTGATATAATCTTTTAGAAGCGAGAAACAAATTAAATTGGACCTCGAAAAAAGTTCAATGTCAATGTACAGATATAGTGATTTCCCATAGTTACAACAGATGTGTTTTAATCCTATTCAAAAGTGTGTGAAGGGTCATTTTTTAAAGCATTTTTATCTCTTAAAACATATTTGTGAAGAGGAAAACAATATTATAAAATATATTTATAATTATGCTTTATTTTGATAAATCTATAACCAACATTTAACACTTATATATAAAAATCGGTACAAAAATTTTAAAGTTAAACGGCTTTATTTTTGTGCATTGAAAATTACGAAAAAAAATAGTTTTTTACTAGCGTAGCACTTTTATTTGATACCCATATTGAGGGGGTTATGGAAAAATATGAAATCCGCCATTTTGTTTCGGCGGCCAACTTAGATTTATATTGTTTTTGATTTCATTATATTGTCAATAAAGTAAATTTGTGTACCAATTTTCAGATCAATCTGACAATGGGAAGATGCGAATTTAAATTTCTAATTTTGACCCAAATAAATAAATATTCGTACGGGTCGAGCTAAATAAAACCATTAAATAAAAACTGACGTGTCTATTTTTGTGTCTTAAATACTACGAGTATATGCATATATAGTAATCAATAAAATCTAGTTTAGTTCCATACCTATAAATGAAGAGAGACAATAAAAAGTTAGAATTGGTCCCTAATATATTTTTTATACATTTTTCACTTTTTATACTTAATTTTTAAACAATTTAAAGAACCCAAAATGTACTTTTATATACAAAATAACCATTAAGTTTGATAACTAATCAATTGTAGGTTGGTTTGTTTTATTATTCTTACCAGTTTTTTTTGCACTAGAAATTCCCGAGCCTAGGTCACCATGTATAAACGAATAAGTATGGTCACGATTTTTATAAAATTTTGCTTTGTATCGGCGCTGACAAAATATCATGCTGCTTCTAAACTGGCTGATTGGCGTTCGTTCTTCATTGCTTTACCTGTGAAGCAAAGTAAAGGTATATCTTTAAAAATAAGGTTCTTATGATAGAGGAAGACAGACAAACAAGGGGTTCACTGAAAGAAGAAATACCCCAGCCATATAACATTTTAACATAATGCGCACCGGCCTATTTTGGCCTATTTTCGGAAAACGATTAAACTTGACGGCATTTTCATCTATGGATGATGGTTCGTAGCCCGAACGGAATTTCGATACCACCAATTTAATATGGAGACCACCAGCTCAAAAAAAATTACAGTTGTAGATTATTATACACTAGCTGGTGCCCGCGACTTCGTCTACGCAGGATTATGATTACGTAGTCTCGCGTATTTAAACTAAATGATGTCTATCATATCATACATTACATAATTATGTGTAACTAACGTTTATAGCAGCGCACGCCAGAATAGCTAGCATAGAGGTAGGTTTTTTCCTAGTTACTTGACACTTAATGCCATATTTTAGACGGCTCACATAATATTTTTATAAATTGTAGCCTTTGTGTTATTCTGATGTATAAGCTATATTATTGGAAAGTTTAATTGACATCCATACAGTAGTTTTTGCGTGAAAGAGTAACAAACATCCATCCACACATAGAAACTTTCACGTTTATAATATTAGTAGGATGTTAGGGCCGATCGGGGGTCGGACGCACGACCCGTTGACAATCTGCCATACATTGCTTCCATTAGACCAATGAGCCTATCAAAGTTGGAAAATAATGTTTCGCATAAAGTAAACGAGTACCACTCTGACTACTTCTCATCGAGCCATGCTGTACCTACTACCAATTAAATCCCTGGTGGACGCAATACCGGGTGCGAAAAGTTAGCTTCAATAATAAATTTAAATTAGAATTTTAAAATAGATAAATGGAGGGGTAAAACTTGATCATAGTGTTCCGTTATGTTGCTATACCACTGAACTACCACATCGCATGTTATCAATGAATTTGTACGATGTATTAACACATAATATTAATAGAAAGCTCTAACTCTGGGACATAGCAGCTCAATTGCTTAGAGCAAAGCTTTTTTGCTTTACTAATATTTAGTATAATTTCTTTCAAATCGACTTAGTTGTTTAGAAGCGAGAAGCATTTTTTAAATTATAAAAACAACTGAATGTGTCTCTCCTTGTTTTAAAAACATCCAATGTAAATACTGTCTATAGTTTACGCGAGTAGTACACATTTAAATAAAACACTTTAACGGTTTAAAACGCGATATATTAGTTAAACTTATTTGAAAATGATTTTTAAGTTCGGCCCGACGTTTCGCAATCCAATCAAATCGAACATCCAATGTATGGTAAATATTAAACGATTAGCGCTATTTAGTTTGTATAAAACATTTGACTTCGATAAAATATGATGGCATTTTTTTGTGAAATTAAGCTTTATTACAATGCGTATAAAACATAGGTAAATATTTATTATGATTCTGCCGTGCCTTGTGCAGTCGCGTGAAGTGATAGTTTTTATAAAAACTCGAAATGTGACCGGGTCTAAGTCCCGCCTGTGTCATAGACTTTTTAATAATAAAAGGAAAATCAAAATTCCTATTTATAGAAATCAATTGATGGGGCAGTTCTTATTGGTATAATTTTGACGTAATTTGAAAGGCATGTTGTTTTTCCCGCTTTTCTTCTCTAAAGCCATTGCATAGAGTCACATTACTTATTTTTAAATTTCTGCAAAATAAAAAATAATATTTATGTTTAAACTTTTTGTTCGTCGGGACCTCGTCCGCGTAGAATAGTTATTTTGGTCATCCAAATTAGTTTTTGCAAACCTCTACGTCTTTATAAATTAAAGCTACTCACGACATCGGTCGCGTCCCGTCGTTCGGGTCCCGTCGTTTTTGCAAGTTAATCTTAAGAAATAGGCATATGGTATCACGCACATTTTTTCCGATTATTTAAAGAGGAATAATTCGTCTTTACATATTTTTGGGGTATCTTGAACCATTTTTGCAGCGTACGCCTCGGAAATCCATAATGATGAACAATTTTCACATTTCTCTTTGTGTCTTTGCTTGTATTAGTCACAGCTATGTTTTATAGCCTTCCGCTTTAAATACTTTAACTAACCCAAAAAGATTTTTTAAATTCGAACCCGTAGTTCTCGAGATAAGCGCGTTCGAACAAACAAACAAACTCTTCAGCTTTATATATTAGTATTGAATACGTTTTATAAATAACCATTAAAACCGGTTTAATAATCGGTTATAATAGGTTCTAAAATCGACGACTTTTATTGCATTTGAGATTGACTTGAGAAAAAATGCACCGCAAAAACTCTATGAATTTAAAGATGTTCATTTAAAAAAGCGATTTTTAAAATCTTATAATAGTCGTAGTTTCAAGGTGACTAAAATTCGTTTTTGAAAATGCTTCACTATTATTTAAGTTTTCTTATTGCACTGTGCAACCTATGTTGTCCTGTATAAGTGGTAAGTTTTATCCAAAAGATCCATAGAAAATGTATATAATACTAACCGGTTAATTTTAATTTTATTTAGTTTAATTTGGTGTATTATACATTTTATTTCCGTGCTAGAGCAACAGCACGGAGCGCAGTGGATGCCGGTTCAAGTCTTGCCCATATCGGTTTTTTAAATCTAAAATCGATTTTTGATTCATATAGTGCAAAAAATCTACATATTCCCAAAATAAAGTTTTAATTTCATACTGTCTATAGTTTACGCGAGTACTACACATTTAAATAAACACTTTACCGGTTTAAAACGCGATATATTAGTTAAACTTATTTGAAAATGATTTTTAACTTCGGCCCGACGTTTCGGATGCTTTGCAGCAGCCGTGGTCACGGGAGGACTCATTAAAGTTAAGGGAGAAGTTAAAAATCATTTTCAAATAAGTTAAATAATATATCGCGTTTTAAACCGTTAAAGTGTTTAATTTAAAGTTTTAATTTGGTTGAATCTGTAGTTTCTATTTTTACATAATATTTGAGACGTATAAACCTTAGAATCAAGGGTCAATACGCGTCACTTTGTAATCCTAAATTATCATGTTTTTTTGTGAAAACTAAACTTGATTTGCTGGTAAGAAGAGCGTGATGTCGTTTATAAAAGCCGAGTTATTGGATAATTAAGTTATAAAACTGATACTCTAAGAGACAGCGGTTGTGTAGTCGCCCATAATGCTTCAAATACAGTATTTAGTGTTGGTTCTGGCCTGCGCGTCTTGCGTATATGGAGGTATAATTTTATATTATTATGTTCAGAATAAACTTATTTTATTGTTATTAAGATTCACTTATTTATCACTTAAAACATCACTTTAACATGTTATTGCATTGAATTAAATAATCTTAAATAGATTTATTTTACCCTTAGTGGGTTGGTAACTTAAAATAAAACTTAACGTAAATAGACAGAATCACTATTAATATTAAATAATATAATAATAGTACTAAAGTTTTAATAATTTCACAGGATACGCAATTTACAAAAAGAAGTTTTCCCTACTAAAACACTGTTAACGGTTTAAAACGCGTTAAAATTGTATAATTTAAATACGGTCGCGTATACTACGGACAATACATTTCTTAATATAAATCTTATCATGTTAAATAACATAATTACAATTTTTGTTAATATTTTAAATATTTTATATTCTCTGCTACTATAACTCTTTATTAAAATAACATTTTTAAGTAATATCTAATTAAGTATATTTAAATAAAACACTTTTAACGGTATAAAATTGAAATATTAGATAATACGGTCACGGCGGCTGCATACCATCCGAAACGTCGGACCTTAAAGTAAATTGGAAATTAGTTAATGCAGTATAAAAGTATTTTATTTAACTACTTGTACTACTTGCGTAAACTACAAACGGTTCTTATATTGTATATTCATAACATTAAAGCTAACAGCTCACATTACGTGATTCAATAAAACAATTTTAACTGTTAAGAACGCGAAATATTCATTTATTTATAAAATTATTTATCTATTCACTCTCACTTCTATACTTTTCACAAACTATCGAAGGGTAAAAATCGACCAAGCCAATTTCAAGTTTTAGCGGTTTCATACATACATACAGAAAATGTGCTACTTTTTTAAACAGATAGTCGTAGTATTTATCAAAATTTAAGTTTTATTTAAAATTAAAATTAACAGTATTATTTTTAAAGTAGTATTTTCGACTGGTGTCGATTATAATTTATGTTTTAATTTAAAATTGGTTTAATTTTTAATTTTAATTATTCAATATTATTTTCAAAATAGTATTTTAGGACTAAAATCTAATTTCCTAAAGCCGGGTATGATATAAAATAAATACTGTCTGTAGTACACATCATATGCATTGAAACTTAACAATTTAACGGGTTGAAACGCGATATATATTAATGAAATTTAGATCGAAATTTCTTTTCGGATGCTTTGCAGCGCCCGTGTCACAGGACGGACCAAAAAAGTTTAACTAATATATGGCGCGTTTTAACCCTTTAAAACTAAATGTTTTAATGAATATTAAATACTTTGCAGCAGTTTTCTGCCTCTTAGATTACATAAGCATAACATTGTTGATTACATATGTTATTAACTTTGAACCTATAAAAGACACTACTTTATTATAAGTGGATAATTATCGTGACAATTGCCCATCTAAGGTTGCAGTAATACTATTTTAAATACTTCTTATAAGTCTAACATACTATGCAAATGTAGGATCAAACGATTAAGGTTTGCCCGACACACAGTATTATAAACTAGCTGACCTGACAAATGTTCTTTTGCCGTATTATGAAATATTTCGACGAAATTAAATAACCGTAAAGTCAGTTCTTGTAAGGTAATCTTAAAAGATAGACATATTCTGTGGTGGACATTTTAAAATGTAAATAAAAGAAGAATCATACTTTTAGTATCTTGAACCATATTTGCAGCTCACGTAACGAAAACCTTCGAAGATTAGTAACTTTTCTTAATTTTTTCGCTTGAAGCTTTTATCGATAAATGGTATATCCAATACAAAAATAATTTTTCAACTCGATCGAGTCGTTTCTGAGATTAGCGCGTTTAATCAAATACAAACGAACTCTTCAGCCTATTAGTACGGATCAGAAATGTACCAAGTAGTGTACTTCAAGTACTGGGCCCAACATAACATCTCTTAATAATATTCATTATGACCATCCATTTAACAGTTCCCACAGCTGGTACACGGGCTCTCTTATGTCTCAATTTCCCACCAATTTTTACGTTTCGGCGTTTCAGTGAACGACGGAGTACCAAACTTCAGACTTCAATAGCGTTGATTGGGTGCTCATAAGTTCAAAACCGCTTTTGTTTATTTCGTAATAATAATATAACACTATATAGCACAAAGTAGAAAAAAGACAAGGAACGACTAAATAACTAAATTACATAGTAAATTAGATACAGGTAAAAAAATTGTGCAAAGTCAAAGTAATCATTATTATGGGTTTCCGAGGCGTGCGCTGCTATACTCAAAAAATATGTATGAAAGATGAATCCTCTTTAAATGATCTAAAAAAATCTGCAACGCTATATGTTTATCACTTAAGATCAACTTGCAAGAATGACGGGATGGAACGCGACCGACGTCGTGGGTAACAGCTTAGGTTTCATGCAAAATAATTTGCAAAAACGAATTTGGATACCCAAAATAACAATTCTCGCGGACGAAGCCGTCGGCACAACTAGTATCGTATAATTCTTAATCACATTCTTTTGACCAATACTCTAACTTCGACTTGTTGTTTGTTGCAAGATTTTATGCTAATATTAATTATTATTTTTATTGCCACTTTTAATTACATTTTTTTCTTTGCAATCAGGAACATTAAGGAATTCGTATTGTTTAGGATTGCGTGTCAGGTTTTTAATTGATAATTACCTGTAAAGACATATTAAAATCCTTATACAATGCATTTTCTCATTATACATAGTTATATATATAGTTTTAATGAGAATTTTCTAATTGCCTGTATACGAGACTGTATATTTATCGTACACTAGTTGTGCCAGCGACTTCAACCGCGTCCCGTCGATTTTGCAAGTTAATCTTAAAAGATATATATACAGGATAAGGACATTACATGATTATTTTACACAAATTTTTGTTGGGTTGGGTATCTTGAACTATTTTGGCAGGGCACGCAACGGAAAGCCTCAGAGATGTATACTTTTTCCCACTGTTTTATCGCTCGTATTGGTCGCAGCGCGATATTTTATAGTCTAAAGTGTAGCTTGATAAATAATATACAAAAATATTTTATCAATTCGAACCAGTTCCTCAGATAAGAGTGTTTAAACAAACAAACTCGTCAGCTTCAGAATATTAGTATAGATGTGTATTCTTTAAATTTGTTTAAATATATCCCTAATTATTCCTCGTCTGCGAACGCCTTTATCACGTATTTTCACGCATAGTTATGCAGTATTGCATTTAAATTAATTGAGTTAAATTATTTCGCGTTCAATAGTCCTCTAATACATGTTTCTCTTGACCGTGATAAATGAGATTTATAATTAAATGCATTTTCTCACAAAGCCACTTTGTAACTAGGTATGTAAAAATAAAGAAATCAATATAGACTTTAAGTTCATCCGAGGTTCGAATCTATGATCTTCCTGAAATTGCCGTGGCCATACTACTGTGCACCCAAAACTACGACTTATAATAAAATAAATGAATAATACAACAATCGAATGTTTTCCTGCGAACCCAACCTCTTGCGCTGGACGTAATACTAGGCAATACGTTTAAGCATTTGTATACAGAGGTTAAAAATAAGAAGAAAATAACATAAAACCAGAAATTTGAACGTTTGAAAATTATTCTATTTATTTTCGATTTTTAAATCAGAAATTTGAAGGTATAATAAAATACTATCTGTAGTTTACGCCACTTAAATAAAAACTTTGAAGGTTTAAAACGTGAAATATATTAATTAAATTTTAAATCGTAAATTACCTAGTCAGTGTTTTATTTAGATAGAAAAATAGTTATATATACTTTATATATATACTTATTAATTTGAACACTCTTAGAGAGAAGTATATAAAGGTAGTTTTACCGGTTTGATTCTAGTTCCCTTCATAAAGAAGTGTAAAGCTGGTGACTCGAAATGTGCAAAGGAGTCTGGCCAAGCTGCTATTGCCACCTTCGCAGCGGGAATCAAGGATCTTGGTGTTCAGACCTTAGACCCCCTGACCTTGAAAAGGACTGACTGCAGTTCTCCTAACCTAAAGCTGGTCGTTACAGATTACTCAATAACCGGCTTAAGAAACTGTATCGCTAAGAAAATTAAGTAAGTTGATTGACCAACATTTTTCTTTTAATAATAAAAAAAAAACTAAGTTACTTTTCATGCGAAGAATTCGAATCCGTCGTATCCTTTTTAATTATAAGACTAATGGCTAATAATCAACGAGTCCTGGGTTTTATCACTACCGGGTCCAACATTTTTTTCAAATTAATTTATATTTTTTCTACAACATGTTGGACTTCGTCTAGAAATTTGATTATTAATAAGTATCGAAGGTCGCAGATGAAATGGCGTGTAGTTCAATCGCGTTTCGGTTTCAGTCTGTGGATTTCTGAACATAACCCAAATAGGTCGACAGCGCACCTTGTATAGATGTTATATGGCTGTGGTATCAAGTTAAAGTCGTGCTTGTCTGTCTAAATAAATGAATAATTTGACGAAATGTGGTGATATTGTACTAAACAAATTGGAATTATTTTCAGATATGATGACCAACAGTCAAAGATCTTCCTGAAACTACAGTGTTCAGGTCAATTAGAAGGAAATTATGAGATGAAGGGAAGACTATTGTTTTTACCTTTGGAAGGAAAAGGCCCACTGCATGTAACTCTCAGTTAGTGATATTATTCAAATTCTTGCAAGCTAATCTTGAAAGATAGACATATACTGTCGTGGATATTATTTAGATTATTTAAAGAGGAACCATTTTTAGGTTCATTGTTCTTCGATATCTTGAACCGTTTTTGCAGCGCACGCAACGAGAACCCTCTAAGATAAATCATTTTCCCCATTTTTCCGCTCCGCTCCTAGCGCAGCATGATGTATAGCTTAAAGGTTTCCTCGATAAATGTTCTAACTAAGTAGTTCCTGAGATTAGCGCGCTCAAACAAACAAACCAACTCTTCAACTTTATAATATTAGTAACGCAATGCAAGTTAATGTTTTCAGTCGATTGATTGATTAGGTTACCTTTAAAAATTACAGACAAAGCCGATTTCAACATCATAATGGATGTTGGACAAATAGAAAAGAATGGCGTCAAACATTGGGATATTAAGAACTGGAACCATGGCTTCGAGCTCAAAGACAAGAGCAAGGTTGTCTTCGATAACCTTTTCAGTTCAAGCCAAACCCTCGGTAAGGTAACAATAATTTTCCTTAACAAAAGGTTAAGGACCATATCCATAAAATCTTACAACTTAACCACAAAGTAGTGGTTAAAATATAATACCAACATTTTAAAATAACACTTCTTTAGCAATAATTTGTTAAAACACATTACAATGTATTTAATCATTTCTTTGAGCATATATCTTGTTTTTGTTGTCAAATATCAGCACCATATAGTAGATACAAAATTAAAATGCATAAATGTGGCGGCTATAGGTAGAGTAGCCTAATAACAAAAAACATGATTTTCAATAAGGAAAATATAATACTAACGCGTAAACTACAGTCAGTATATAAATAATTCTATTCATAAAAATTGCAGTTAGGCTACTCTGCCTCTATCGACCTTAATTTATTGTAAAATCCAAGGAATGGTGAAAACATTACATTTCAATCATTCTATCATTTTAAAAATGGTGGTTCCATTATCTCTAATTTAGCAGTAGCATGGTGCAACTCTAAATGAACAAACAACTTCTAAATGACATGTTCTGTGGCAATGTTTTGGTATAGCGAGTGCCTTAACATCATCCGTTATCTTATTATTTCATTGTCTATTTCAGGGCAAGCGGCGAAAGATGTCATAGACGAGAGCGGCAATGAAATTATATTAGAAGTGGGATCGCCTATCATTTACGATTCTATTAAAGTTGTTGTGGAGTCTATTAACAATTTCTTCCACAGTGTCCCACTTAGCGAACTAGTTGAATAGACTAGAAAAAGTTGCCCCAATAAATTTCGATCATAATATTTCAACTGTATTAAGGACTTTTATTAAATGTTTAACTATAAATTATTACAGATTGTGATTTATTTTTAAGGAAAGATATATTTTTGGAAAAGCGAAATGTTTTATATACTTAAATTGACTGCAATAAATATACTTTTATAATACTTTTCTTTTTATTTAAAAACTTACTGCGTATTAAGTATTTCTTGTTGCTAACGAGAGTAAGAGTAAGCCGGCTATTTAATTTTACGATTGTAATCTTTAAAGGTTTTTAGTTAAATTTAGCATTTAATCAAATAAATCTCAAAATTCAGCGGAACCAAACTCAATCAATATAAAATCGATAAAGAAGATAACTGCACATTTAAGTATATTACACATTTGATAAGGTAAATTATTTTAATTATTAAGTCAAACTTTAAAAACATACTTAGTATTGTATAAACTTGTTATAGCTGTAGTTTTATCCTTTTTATTATCATTTATTATTGTAAATCTCTATCTTCAAGGTTGCTCTTGAAATCGCTATTTAGGCCGCCTTTTCTACATTTTGGATTTTTAAATTAAGTTTTATTGTATAACATTGTGGTGAAAAGAAAATATATTTATTTTATTTGTTTGCTTGTTTGTTTGTTATATTATTAAGCATCCATTCGCTTCCTTTTATTAGAAATTTCGGACCCGAATTTATACGAAAAAGTAGTTTTTAAGTCCCATTTTACAAATACCTCATGATGCATCCACAGGGCTTTTAATATCTCGTATTTATAATACAGAATTATAGAAACTAGAGCTTAGTTTTATAATGACACGTTCAATACATGTTTTGTTTCAAATTTCCAATACTAAAATTTATATTACGTGAATTTTATCGCTATTAATAGAAACAGTGCTAAAAATGACACTTTAAATTAAAATAACATCTAGTCCGTAGCTGAGAGGATAATCTTTGATCACAAACTCATAAAAAATAGTCTATTTCAATTGACAATAACTTATTGGAATCAGTTGGTCCGTCATATGAGAATTAATTATATTAGAGTTGTTTTAAATTTTAAGTTAACATACGGCACGTAACAAAATTAATTAACGTTTTGCATTACGTGACATTGTAAACGATATCTAAGGAATGTATGATAATATGACACGTTTGATAGGGAATAGGTAGATACTAAAATAATACATAGAAGGGATTAAAACGCGAAATATATTAGTTACCTTAGTTATAATTATTTTTTTTAATAATGGCCCGACATCTTCTCCGAGACCATGGCTGCTGAAAAATATCCGAATCGTCAGGATGTAGCTAAAAAAAATTGTACACTAGTTGATTTATTTATTTGCGTTTTAAACCGTTAAAAATGTTTTATGTAAATGTGTATTATTTGCGGAAACTACAGACTATATGTAATCTATTAACCAAATTATCATCACACAGACCACTAACGCTCTAGTTTGAAAATAGAGAAAGAACTATTTTTGCTAAAAGTAGTTTTCTTTTTAGTTAGTAGCTTTTTGAGCAGTATCTTAGTGTTAGCCTATCTAACTAAAACTAAATTTAGTACTTTTTTCTCATACTGTAATTTGAGAAATAAGTTTTTACATTATTCACAAAAGCAAATCAATAGAGTTAGTTGCATACACTTTTTGTATGAGCGAAAACTTTATCTCAATCCTAAAGTCAGATTCTTTTTCGTCAGAAAATATTCCACTGCTCGATTGCTTAGCTTCACACACATGAATAATAATACGATAAGCAACTTCGACTTTTTGCTTGTAAAACGCTACAACATTGCCTTCTCTTAAATTCACGGAAATGCTTTTTTTAACAATATTTATAGCGGTAGGTTAGGTTTATTCCTCTTTAGACAGCCATGACTTCATCAAAATATTGACGCTAATGAAACGTATAGTCTAAGAACCCGTGTCTGTACACTTGTCGTGCTTAAAACTAAATTGAGAAATGGTAAAAATAATTTTGTTCCCGCTCAAAACAAATTGTACACAATGCATTTGACCATAACACTATTTCAAATAAGACTATAATATTAGTCAAATATGTAATAATGCAACCGGATTTTGCATTATTTTATTACGCGATGTAGGAGTCAAATACCATATAATAAAAGACATAATATAAATTAAACTGATTAAAAGTTAAACTGATTTCAAGTCATTTTACGTTATTTATAATTGTTTAATTGAAAACGAAATTAATTCGTTATAAAAATGTCAAAATAATCCAGCTCTTAGTCTACCTGTCATGTAATAACATAGTAAATCTTAAACGTTTTGTTGGCGATTTGTTTTTTACTAACTTATTTTATAAGTAAAAACAATAGACGAATACGATGTGTTATCTATAAAAGGCAGGCCTTAATGATATGGATGTGATATTGGACTAAAAGTTTTAGCGTTGAGGTCGTGTATTGAGAAACAATTAGCATAGAATTAATATTTCCTAAAAATGGCCTACTTCAAATATTTAGTGTTAATCTTTGCGTGCGCCGCTTACGTATATGGAGGTAATTTTTTAAGTCTCTTTAATTAACTCAAATACAAATGTTTAATGTAACAACGTAACTATTGTAGAATTTAAAAACATTAATAATTTTCGCATTTTAATGTACATAATAGTATTATATAAAATTAAAATCTGTTTAGACTGAACACTTTTAGGATATGGGCGGGACTTGAACCCACAGCGTTCCAAGCTGCTGTTCTAGCTTCTCAAGCTACGAGACTAGATGAAGAACAGCACGGAACGCTGCGGATCGGTTCAAAACCCTGTGCCGTCAAATTATTTAATCTTAAAGATTTTTAATTTATATTGTTGTTACCTATTGTATAATTATTTTAAATATTTGAATGTTGTCTATTTATAATAATTAAATAAAACCATTTATATCCTATCTACCCAGTTCCTAGTTAACTACTCCACTAACTTCATATAATGCCTTGCTTTAAAGTCGTTAAAGGTTTATTTGATTTATTTATAAGTGGTAGTTGTATTTTAAATCTTTCTTAAGTTTAAAGAAGATATAAGTTTTTTAATAATTATTTATAACTTAATTCTATTAAGTATAGTATTCGAAATTCTTTTGATTGATGTATTTAAAAATAATTTGAAGAAGAAATTTTTTTAGATAATTAAAATATTTATTTTTTTGGTTTCTTAAACCGTCTTCGAAGCCCACGCAACGAAAACCTTCAAAGTTTGTCCCTTTTTTCTCCACATTTCTCACTGTTTCTGTGGTATCCTGTAGTTTCATTGCTGAAAATTTTCCTCGATAAATGGTCCAAATAATAGTTTTTCAATTTAAACCAATAGTTTCTTAGATTGAGTTCAAACAAACTTTTCAGTTTTATAATATTCGTATAGACATAGCATTTTTTTTATATTACTGCCTTGTTTAGAATCAATTAAAATAATGTATTATATTTCAGGGCCAGTAGTACAAAAGTGCAAGGCCGGTGATGGAAAATGCGCCAAAGAGTCAGCACAGGCTGTGTTGAAATTCTTCGCGGAAGGTTTTGCGGAGTACGGCATGGAAGCCCTAGACCCAGTTGTTATAAAGAAAACTGATGCCAGTTCTCAGAGTCTTAAACTGATCATCACTGACTACACTGTGACTGGTTTGAAGGAGTGCACTATTAAAAAAGCAAAGTGAGTTTTTTTTATGTTACAACCTGTCAGCGACTTTGTCCGCGTAGAATAGTTATTTTGGATATCAAATTGTCATTTTTGACCCGGCAAACCTTGCCTTCAGCTGTATAAATTTAAATTAGCTGACCCGGCATAACAGTAAGTTTTGTCGCAGAGGGAAGAATTATTTTTTTTTTTTTTTTTAAAAAAATTACTAAAAATGTTGTCAAAAAAATAAAGTAAAAAATTAGGGGTGGACTACCCCTAACAATCAGGGGGATGAAAAATAGGTGTTGGCAACTTCTCATAGATACCGGTAAAAACAAAATTTCATCAAAATCGGTCAAGCCGTTTCGGAGGAGTATGGCAACGAAAAGTGTGACACGTGAATTTTATATATTAGATGTTGTTACCCACGGCGTCGGTCGCATCCCGTCGTTTTTGCAAATCAATCTTTAAAAGATAGACATATAGTGACAGACATTTCTTTGAACCCTTTTCGTTGCGTACGGGACGGAAACCCGCGAAGATTAATAAATTTCCCCGATTTGTTTACATTTTCCCCTGTTATTTCGTTCCTATTAGTCGCAGCGCGATGTTCCATACCCTTTAACCTTTCTCGATAAATGCTCTAACCAACACAAAAAATAAGTTTCTCAAGTGAACCAGTAGTTTCAGAGGTAATCTCGTTCAAATAAACAAACTTTTGCTTTATATATTAGTTAAAGCTACCTTATTATCCTTACTTTAAAACGAAAATATATGTCCTTAATTCTCTTTATGTATTTGACATTGAAACTGGGTTTTGCCAATGCCAAATCAGAATGCATGTTTGGCACCATTATACGCTCAAATGACTTAAACACTCAAACGCTCTTGATAAATAATATTGAGGTATATAGAAAAAATATGTAAAAATGAATGTTGTTAGTCTAAAAGTCGGGAGTGCCCGATCTAGGTAATTCTTCGATATTCTTGTCCAGTAAAAGTTTCAACTGTAAGACAGTACAAAACACGCAATTTTTCTTATATTTCCTATTTACCAACTTTCCTGTCAATTATTTGACGTATTTTATAGTACATATAACCAGTCGATATTTCCAAACACTTTAATGAAGACTGAATTTTGTATGACACAAAGAAGACTAATCGCAAAGCAATAAAACAAGTATCTGTGGTTTCATAAGAATTACCATTTGCGCAAATAGTACGTGTTTAAATAAAACACTTTTAACGGCTTTTAACGCAAAATATATCACTTACCTGGTGTGTCTCCCAATGACCAAAGGTAATGCTAAGCATGCAAAACATCGGGCCGGAGTTAAAATAAATCTATACTTACTAATATACGGGAAAAATGTTTTGTTTGCTCGAAAAAATGTACATAATTTAAAAAAAAAATAGCAGTTTTCATCAATAAAACAGCATAAAATAAGATAAGAGTACCGACCAAAAGGCTCCATAAAACAAGTAATTATTTTCAAGGTAACTGCATACGGTATTTTAATATCATCCCTAGTGAAGTAAAAACGCTGTCAATAAGTAAGTTTAAATCGTTTGTTAAACAAAAACTGCTTGGAAAGGGTTATTATAACGTAAATGAATATTTAAATGATAAAAATGCTTGGGCTATGAAGGAACCCGCTCTATCAAGGAAGAAGTGTACACAATGAGTGCGTAAGGAATATAAGGAAATGTAATCAAAACTTGGCAATTAAAAGGAGTGGCGGCGAGTTTCTTGCCAGTTCTTCTCGTTCGTTCTACGCCCTAACTTGGGAACTGGTAGTAACTATACCTGTAAATTTAGAGTTTTAACGTTTGACGTTTATAAGTGTACTAAGCTACCTACATGAATAAATGATTTTGATTTGATTTGATATAAAGCTGAAGAGTTTGTTTGTTTGTTTGAACGAGCTAATCTCAGGAACTACGGTTTGAATTGAAAAAAAAAATATTGTGTTGGTTAGATCATAGGTTATCGAGGTAGGCTATAGGCTATAAAACTTCACAAACAAAACGGGGGAAATTCTTTATCTCTGTAGGTTTCAGACGCGTACGCTGCGAAAACGGTTCAAGATGTCTAAAAATGTGGATGTTGGAAAGAATGATTTCTCTTTAAATTATGTAAAAAAAGTCCGCAACGCTATATATCTATCTTTTAACGTACGTTGCAAGGGGTTTGCAAAAACCAATTTGGATGCCCAAAATAACGATTCTTGCGGACGAAGTCGCTGGCACAGCTAGTAAAAAATAAGTTACCTCGCTGTTAGGGTACCTACCAGTTATTTTGTGTTTTAAGCCGTTAAAACTATTTTATCTAAACTAGTAACTACTCATAATAACAGTTTGGCGCGGGCCAGAAAACCTACGTACCACGTGAATTATTTTTTCGATAACACTAATGCAATTAACTAATAATCAATCAATAGCAGTTCCGGTCAAAGGTTGACTAAAAATATCCCATAAAGTAATTCACCTTCCATGAATCAGAATAAACAAGAAAACTTGTTTATATTTAATTTCCAATCGACCTTTGAATAGTTTAGCTGATCGAAACCTCTATACTGACGTATGTTAAAAGTAAACACACTAATCTATACTAACACATAAATCTGAGGAGTTTGTTTGTTTGTTTGAACGCGGTAATCTCAGGAACTACTGGGTCGAATTGAAACAATCTATTTTTGTTGGTTAGAGCCTTTATCGAGGAAGGCTATACGCATTTATAAAATATTGCGCTATGTCTAAAAAGAACGAAAAACGGCGGAAATGCGCGAACATGGTTTATTATACACAAAAAATATATATGAGAGAATGATTCTTCTTTCAATTATCATAAAAATCTCTTAAGATGAACACGTAAGAACGGCTGGAACTAAATGACGGATCGCGAGCGATGGAACGCATCTGATGACGTAGGTAACAGTTTGCAAACAACATCTTTCTAATTTTACAATTTATAATTTTTCTGAAATATGCCGTCTGGAAATTTGGATATTAAATGCACGAACCACCGTCCAACCCGTGAAGTATAATCGCGTTTCGGTTTCAGCCCTTCTTTATCCCAGATGTAGATTACAATATTTGTTTCATACCTATACCATAGCAAGAAGTCGCTAACACAGCTAGTATCTAATTTTCTCGATAATCGTTTTTTTTTTTAATATTGTATCGCGCAGGTAAAAAATACTTTTAAGCGTAATATAATTTCAGATTCGACAAACCCAACTCGAAGATTCTAGTTAAGCTGCTATGCTCCCCAAAACTCGAAGGCGACTACGAAATGGACGGGAAGTTGTTAATTCTTCCACTGGAGGGCAAAGGACCAATCCATGTACAATTAAGTTAGTGCTTTACGTATTAGCAATGTTTGCATTAAATAAAATTTAATCGAAAATCAGTAGGAGTATAAATTACTATATTAATTGCTGCCAATTAAAACGCTGCTGTCTATGAAAAATATAAAGAGGGATTTAATAATTAGAGACATACTGTCTGTCTGTCTGAAGTTTTTGTGTAGTCTGTCTATTTGAGTTTAAAGGTTTAAATATAACACTTTAACGGTTCAAAACGCGATATATTAGTTAAATTTATTTGAAAATTATTTTTAACTTTGGCCCGACGTTTCGACCACTGCTGCAATTTTCCAATAAAATTTAAGTATACAAGCTTCGCGTTTTAAACCGTTAAAGTGTCAATTCAGAAACGGTTTTGTTTATAATCGTCAATCAAAGTCAAATCAAAGATATACAGACGTTACAAATTATATAGAGCTTAGGCTTTTTTTATATAATTGACGTTAATTTCAATTTGATTGTTCTTTAGGAGATCTCGAAGTCAGCGTGGAAATGAACTTGGAGGAAATTGAAAAGGACGGATTGAAGTACTGGAACATAAAGAACTCCAGACACAGCTACGAGCTAAAGGACAAAGCAGATGTGGTCTTCGATAACCTATTTGGTGGAAATGAAGTACTTGGTACGTATTATTAAATTATTCAGAATATTTCAGATTTATTTCTGGAAGTCTTTGAGGGAGGCCTATGCCTAGCATTGGACACTGAATGGCTGAATCGAATCGATCGAATCGAGAACAATTTTTTTTATGTTTTCATTATCTGTGTATTTTCCAGGAAAAGCTGCCAGGGACGTCATTAAGGAAAGCGGGAATGAGATCGTCCGCGAAGTAGGCTCACCAGCAATTTCGGACATCTTGGACGTCGTCATTGAGAATATAAACCAGTTCTTCCACCACGTTCCTATCAGCGAACTGACATTCGATTGAAGTTATTAAATGATGAATAACATAACACTAGTCTTCTTCACTTTTTCTCTGGGTGAGCCCAGACTTACAAACACTTTTCACAAAAGTATATCAATAAAATATCGACCGCCTCTGTCGCTAATTGGTTAAATGTGTTGCCTAGCATTGAGTTTAGCCGGAGAGGTCCTGGGTTCAAAACCCGAGTCAGTAAATTGTTTCGGTCGGGCAGGGCAAATAATGCTGATCGACTACTTGCCTGTAAATAAAACCGATCAATGAAATGAACACCGAAATATGTTCGTCCCATGCCCCGCGAGGGACACGGGATTTCACTTTTTTAAATTTAGTAGGTTACGCCACAGCAATTAATTAGAGTAATATTTACCTCAAAAAATATCTGTTGATCTGTTTGGTTGCTCTTATGAAGCTTCAAACAAAAAAAATGAGTATTATCGTAACATCCTTCTCGAAATAACATAAATTTTAGTTAAATCACAGAGTTTACTATAAATTAAAGACTGATTAAATAAATGTCTAATTAACATAATTGTAAAAGTTCATGTTAATAATTTATTTTAAACAATATTCTTCATTAAAACAACTGTTATTATTATAACGTCTACTTTTAGACATTCATTCGAGTTTCGTGTATTCCTTTGTTTGTTGTTTCCGCTGACAAAAACGACTAGGTGTATCTTATTGTTTTTGTTTTATGTCCGACAAGTTTATGCACCTTTTAAAGCTATTTTGGTATTGCATTTACATTAATATGTATTGTTTTTACATCTACATCGTAGGTTAAGTGATTAATGCATTTGACTGCAGATCACGAGGTCTAAGGTTCTCGAATCCTTAGTTGGGTTTTAAGAATATACTATATATTACCTAGTCATTAGGAAGTAGGAATAGGCGGTAGTCTTCCACCGATCCGCATTGGAACAGCGTGGTGTGCACTTAAATCTTTCCGATATGATAGGACTTATGTGCTTAGCAGTGGATCACTATGATTACTATAGTAATTTATTAATCAGACAATAAATGTATTTCCTAAATCTAATTTAATCTAATGATTGTCAGTTGGGTTAGTAAGCATTTTTAAATCTTATATTAGTATGTGTTACACTGTACCACTACTAATACAGGTTCGTAATTTTATGCCGAGTCGATGTCAATGACATTTCGTTCTATGATGGAGAAGCAGGTCGTAAGCAATATTAATAAATAAAAAAAGGTGTAAAGCATATTATATAAATATTTCCAATATGTTTTATTGGACCTCACATCATATTTTATAATCATAAAGCTAGTCCGTACCCTTAATCATTATAAGAATAAAAAATAAATAACATGAACATTTCGATTTGCATATTCAAACTACCGGTTCTGCGTGTAAATTTAAAAATTAGATATATCTCTTATAATTAGGTATAAAACAAAGCAAACTAAAGGTATCTTCGCACGACATTTTTAGTTCCTAGCACAAACTCAGTATTACATTTTTGTTATGAACTATTATCAGTTTTTAAACACATTGCTACAATTGAAATAATGACGACACAAATGTAAAAAAAAATATTAGGGAATTTAAATGAAACATTTTTAACGGTTAAAACCGCCAACATGTAATATTAAACTTATTTAACTACGACAGTGCGCTCTTTACAGCAGCCGTGGTGACGGTAAGACCACATTTGGTTAAAAATGTTTTATTAAAATGTCTACAGAGAATACTTACTATTAAGAATATAATATAATTCATATATATATATATATTACAAATATAATTCAGTTGTTTTAGTCCAATTTGTAATATTATTCTATGAACTAAGGTAAAAATTTGATAATTAAAATGTCTTGTTACTCCTAATATAAAGATTTTGAAGGACAATATTATACTGTTACAAGCCACAACAAAAAGTAGTTCATCTCATAACAATGGTTGAATGAAATCAAAGCAAATATTATCCTTCTCAACAGCGTGGTACAAAAAAATAATTGCTCTATCCAGCTCGACTGTTGACGCCTTTACAAATTCTCCTCACAGCTTGTATTTATACGATATATTGTTAAAAAACAAATCAGATTTGAAGTCAGCGGTGAACGCTAGAGTTCGTTTAGGTTGTACATTTAAAATTAGTTAAAATGCATTCTTTGTTAATATTAAAATATATTTTGGCATCAGTGTGTTTTGTATACGCCAGTCCAGGTAAATATTAATATAATTTCGATCCATATGTTTAAAAATGGAAAATTGTTCCAATATAGAATTTAATTAAACTTCAAATATAGTTGTTATGTTAAGTTTATTAATAATTTATTGTTTATATTTATTTTACTGACTGTTAATATAAAATTTAAATATAGACTTGCTTAGTAATAGTACAAGTTTATTAACGTGTAACTGTTCACATTTTCTTAGTATGTTCTATGTTAATCATTTTAATTCATTCAAGGATTTTAATGTTTAACCTCCAAGCTAATTGTACAAGATTCTGTGTATACAATTATATTTATGCCGTATTTATAATAAGATATATCCATTCTAACATCATAATGTAGAGAAATTATGATTTCCATAAAGAAACGTTTTACAAGCTGAGTGACGAAATACGGACATTTTAAATAAAACACTTTTAACGGTTTAAAACGAGAAATATATTAGCTAACTTATTTCAAATTTATTTAAAGTACGGCCGACGTTTCGGATTTGCAGCAGCTATGGTCACGTTAAAATAAATATTTATTATAAAATAATATTTTACGTTATAAACAGTTAAAAGTGTTTTATTTAAATATGAACTATAGTAAGCAAGACAATATTTAAAGTGGGGATTCCTGTTTTTGTTATAAGACAAGTATTAACTATTGGATATTGTTTCAGTTGCCTTTGAGGTTAAAAAATGTGAATCTTCCGATTCCAAATGTTTGAAATCAGTCACTCAGGAATTGATACCAAGGTTTGCGGAAGGTTTATCCATCTTGAGCGTGGACCCCCTCGATCCTATGTTTGTGGACAAAGTTGATGCGAGTACTCCTAATCTCAAGTTAATGCTGACTGATCTCAAAATAACTGGACTTAAGGGTTGCATTGCAAAGAAAATCGAGTGAGTACTACTGTTTCATAACGTAGCTTGGAATGTTACGTGAAAGGTAGAAATACTTTTAAATATAAAAGATTGAAGAATATAAACTTCACTTCTAAATGACCCTACCAATTAGAAAGATGACATCTTGTAGGTTGAATTTACCTTCTATCATTGCAATATGAACATATTATACGGTTTAAAAAAATGTCTTTTTTCCTAGTACGCTGTTCAATTACAATATATTTCATACTTTATATTAAGGAGGATTACAGTATATGAAATATTGCAAAATATGTTTTATGTCACGAACTATTAACATAAGTATATGTTGATAAAGTAATCATTGATAATTAAGAACCTATTATTGACCTTATATTCTTGAAGGTTGTCATTTTGTTAGAAGAGCAGATTATTTTCATGTTCCTTTAGTAGTAGGCATATTTCAACTACTTTCCTTTCATCGTCATGGTTAAACGCTTTTTCAAAAAACACTGGAACATTAAATACTGTCTAGTAAAAAAAAAAAAATTTAAAGGGTGGGAAGGGGGATTAAAAGGTAAAAGGAATAGGAGGTTGGGTTGGGGGGGGGGGGGGGGGGGGGGGGGGGGGGGGGGGGGGGGGGGGGGGGGGGGGGGGGGGCGGGGGGGGGCCGGGGGGGAGGGTTAAAGGGGTTTTTTTTAAATGGGGAGTACTGGGGTAAACTATAGACAGTATTTACTGTCTAGTAGAACACATTTAAATATAACACTTTAACGGATTAAAACGCAATCCGTGGTCCCCCGTCTCCACGTGATCACGGCTGCTGCAAAGCACCCGAAACGTCGGGCCGAAGTTAAAAATCATTTTCAAATAAGTTTAACTAATATGTCGCATTTTAATCCGTTAAAGTGTTTTATTTAAACTCTGGAACATTATTATTTTCAACATGCTATTGCATAGTATTATTAATCATGTTAAATATAATTTAAAATACATTTTTAAGAAAGATTTGTACAGAACATTGCCAGGATTTGAGTTCTGCTCTATTTTTTTTATTAGACTCTAGTCAGCCTTAATACACTTTAACAAGCGTTGCTTTAATTGCCTTCGTTCAAAACAGAAAATTATTCTGTTATAGGTTGATAAAAGCATAACATGCTATTAAAGGTTGACATTTAATAGCTGTAATTGTATTGTAATCTCTCAAGACATGAAATCAAATTGTTTTTAATAATTAGTCACTTTGTTGTTAAGTACTTTTGACACAGACGGGTTTTCGTCCTGTATGGTCACAGTGGTGTGTGTCCTTTAAAATTTCAACCTTAATAAATTTAATTTATATAATGCAAATTTGCAATTAAGGAGAACATGTAAAAATAATAAAGTAGATTAAAAATCAAAAAAAGAAAACGCGCAGGACTTGAAACGGCATCGACAGCGTTCCGTGCTGTTGCTCTACCAATTGAGCTACCGAGTCCTAAACCTCAACGTTGAATTTTAACCGACACATGCACCTCTCGCGCATGTTTTTAATTTAATTTCAATTTTTAATCTATACAGTGCCATCGTGTTCAATAACATGTATAAAATATTGAAGTTTAAATAAAACACTTTAACGGCTTAAAACGCGCTATATTTTAGTTAAACTTGTTTGAATTATTTTTAAGCTACGACCCGACGTTTCCGAATATTAAAGTATTCAAATAATAGATTATTCAAACTATCTAAAGTGGGTTCGATTCCTTCTTGGATTACATTTTTTCTTACTTTAAAATTATACATCAATAATTCTTCAAGTGAATTAGCATCTAAAAACTGAATATTCCGTTGTCGAGGTAAAGTCAACAATTAATGACATAATATTTGATTTTCCAATTGTTATGCTGGAACTTGCCTAACAAATAAATATTTACTTTTCAATGATTATCCACTGTACATTAGCATAAGAGTAAAGCTAATTGAACAATTGGCGCTCATCAATAGTTACGTAGGTTTTGGAACAGATCGTAAAATAGTTAAAGTATTTTAAATTAGGAGACAGAGGCGTTGTTAAGTGCTGCCCCTTTTGCGAAGTCTTAACTACTAAATTTATGAGGGTAGAAAACATAATTTTTTGAACGTTTAATTAACTTCTTACACCGTACTAGTTTGGTGCATGGCCTAGAATCTAACTCCTGAACTTTCAAATAAAACTCTACAATTACATCACCATTTATTAATTTTTAAGAGGATACTTAGTGGATATTTTTTACAGACGTGATGCGAAAAAATCTTTTCTCTCAGTAACTCTGCAATGTACTGTTGACGTTGAGGGCCATTATGACATGAACGGACGTCTGTTGGTGCTACCACTCGAAGGAAATGACAAGTTCCAAGCTAAATTAGGTAAGAAAAACCGGAACGCTAAAGTTTTAATTAAGTATGTATTGAAAATGACTTCAGATGAGATGCGGTAGCTCAATTCACAGACATCACGAAATGTTGTTGTCGTTGGTCCCGATAAATTTCCGGTAACTTATAAACATGTTGATGTTTTTTCAGATAGAGCAATTTTCAAAGTAGAAGGCAATTACGAAGAAATCGAAAGAGATGGTGAAAAATATTGGAACATTATAAAATGGGACCACGGTTTCAAACTACATGACAAATCAACTGTGCATTTCGACAACCTTTTCAATGGAAATAAGGATTTAGGTAATGCAAATTTTCATTTGATAAGGGACCTAAAAACCACTGATTTCTGGAAGACATGAAGCACCAAAGATCCGTTGCTTGTCATACTTTTTTAAGTTGTAAATTCTCGGTATGGTTCCACAATTATCTCTAAACAAACATAACTCACCTTACGACCTCTAAGCCTTAAACGATAAAGAATTTGAATATAACATTGACCAATGTCAATATCTTCTACGTAAACAAAACAAGTTAGACCTCAGTATGTTATTTTATCAAGGCTTAAGGTTTAGATCGCGGGGAAACATAATAGTTAATAGAAGAATTAGAATTTCCCACTTTAACGTCAAAAATATTATTTATGATATTATAGAAATTATTGAAAATTAGTGGTAGTAAACTGTGTAAGGCACACTGAAGTATAACTCTGTCTTTGTTGTGACAGACTTATGTAAACTTGCCAATCAAATAATCGGAATAATACATTTATAACAATTACCCGCATGAAAAATGAGTGAAAATTAATTATTAATATAGGAATAAGTGTCGTAAATAAATTCAAAACCAAATATGTAAATTGAACTACTTATCTTTCAGCTCAAGCTGCGCAACAAGTGATATCAGAGAGTGGTAACGAAATTATCAATGAAGTTGGACCTCCAGTAGTCAAAGCTATCTTGACCAAAATCGTTGACGGAGTACAAGAATTCTTCCACGCTATACCATCTAAAGATTTGGCATTAGATTAGACAAAAAAATTGTATTAACTTATTTTTTTATATACAAACTCGAGAAAATACCTCTATGTGCATTAAGGGCAGACTTCAATGTATATTATAAATAATATATTATATTTTTCAATTAATCAGTTTTTTTAATTACCATTTTGACTTTCGAGAATATTCTAGTAACTTAAGCTTAAATACTGTCTGTAGTTTACGCGAGTAGTGAACGTTTAAATAAAACACTGCAGCAGTCGTCACAGTGAGATCACGGGAGACAAAGCATCCGAAACGTCGGGCTGTAGTTAAAAATACTGTTAAAATAAGTTTAACTAATATATTTTGCGTTTTAAACCGTTAAAGTATCAAATATAAGCTAGTAATTTTTTACTTAAAACTTGAGTTTATAGTGCCATATCTCTATATTTATGTTTCTATTTGACTACACAGTCTACAGACTACCTCATAATTAATTGAAAGATAAAAAAACTTAATCTCATTGATCGTGTTACAGTATAATAATTAAATACTTAAATAACATATACAATACACACTTAACGTATTTACAAATAGATTATTAACATTTTGTAATACTACTCGTAAAATTACATGCGCACTAATAACGACCAGTAATAAGATTCACTTTGCGAAATTTACGAATTTATTCGTAAAAATTAAGGCATCAAAATAATTTATCAAGAAGATGCTATGTTCTATTCTTACTCTGCCAAAATATTTATCTCGTAAAAGGCGTATTCAATTAAAATTTATGACACACACTCCCTTCTCACATTTGATATCTCCGGTATAAAACATTCCAACACTAAATTATATTGGGTCATCAAACTGTCATCGTTGACTAAACGCTGCGCGTTGGCATCATGTAGGACCATAAAAGAACAATTATTTCGGTTCTTCACACGGAGACGAGCCTATAAAACCGTCAACGATGTATCTAACATATGGAAGAAATAACGATTTGTGATCCTCGAATTAGAACGTAATAAATGAACGTGTTATTTTGCGAAAAAAAATGAATTAAGAAAGCCATAAAATTAAAAAAAAGGGATGACGTCAATATCGTCTCGCGAGAAGTCACGCTATAAATGTCAATCTACACTTTACATTCGTTAGTAATTAACAAAAGTTGAGATTGGGTTTCTACGGAAATGTTATTATCTGCGTAAGAACTGCATCCTAGCACAAGTAATAACTACTTAAAATTTAATTATATAAAAATATTACCCTTTAATTATTGCGGAAATAAAATCACTTGGAAAATTATTTCCATTTATATTAATTTAGGAAAGAATGGAAGATACTTTTCGAATCTTAGTAGTTTAAAAAAACAGTTCTATTCTCGATTTTTTTATGATAGAGGGGGGATAAAGAAGCATAGCGTTTACATGATAGTAGATGATATAGCCCAGCATGATGATATAGGTTTTGGATATTCGGCGATCAACTGACTGAATCCCAAATGCGATGAAACTTGTCGGATTTTTCATCTGTGGGTGGTGGTTCACTTTCGATATTCTTACCAACCATTTAATACCCAGATTTCCAGACGAAGTCCAACATGTTTCAGAAAAATTATGTATATGTTAGAAAAGTGGTAGGGACCGAACCCACGATCCGTTGATTATTGCTACCATTATACCAACGAGACGAAAGAGTTGTGTCTAAATTCTAGAATCCTATTTACTAAGTAATTATTATTAAAATAAGTATTTCTCTTCTATGTACACGTACATAATAAATATCATTACATATCAAAGTTACATAACAAAACACGTCCCTATAGAATCGTGAAAATCCACTTGTTTATTTTGACAAATAGACAATTACTGATGTAATCTCGAATGGACGAGGAGTAATAAGACCGATGACTGGACGAAATGCTTGACCATTTGCCCATCTTATCTGAATCTGTGCTCCTTAAAATATTTCGAATTCCTTTTGGCTGCAAGCGATATTTAACTTGAAATTGAAGCGTGATACTGTTAAAATGTATCTATTACAGTTCTTTCTACAGATGTTTAGGAGGGGAATACTTTCAGAACTTTAATATTTTTCACATATTGCATATGATGACATTATAAATATTTTTTTTTTCAATTTATTATAATTTTTTAATATAGGAGTAAACTGAATTAGACCCTTCTATTGTTAGACTGCATAAAACGTTTCACGAAATTAAAAAAGCAAAATGGTGGTCTACATCTCCCTATATTTTTGTAACGTCTTATCTCTGTTCTTATAGCGTTGTAAGAATCTCTTTCCTGCCAACATTTAATAAATTAAGCATATTAATGTGACAGTATGAGGATAGGATGTTAGTATATTAAAATGGCTTGACTGTTGTTGATAAAACTCAAAGTATTTTATATGTATTAAGTTTATGACGCAAATATATATTTTTTACAAATGTATTTTTACTTTTGCATGGTTCGCTCCGTAACTGCGGCTGCAAAGCAGCCGCAACCGAAACGCCAGACCGTTTTAATAATAAATTGATGTTATAGTTTTCTATTTAAATGTACTACTCTCGCAAACTACTGGAATTGTTATGTTAATTAAAAGACATTTATTAACAGACTTACGTCAAATCAAGTCTAGTGTAATTTCAATTTTTAATTTAAAGATAATAATGGAAGGAAATAAAAATCACACAAACGATAAATCAGGAATCGAATCGATACCAGGGGCAAGCACCCCAGTTAGCCAACAGGCAATCAATAACAAAGTCATTTATCTACTAAGGAACTTGACACGGCTAAACGTTCGCTAAGCACGACCATACAGTGTTTATATTGGATCTGTATACGTTATTAAATTTTAAAGTGTAAGTGGAAAATTATAAAAAAATATAAGAGTAACAAACAACTCATTAATGATAGGTCTCTGGACAACATTTTGTTGTTAAAGTTATAATACAGGTTGTCTGTTTTTATTACAACTCTATACTTTGCGACCCATGAATTACTTAAATAAAATCAAGCTAATATATTATGATTGGACCGTGTCTGTAGCCAAAGGGACGTGTTGCCTAGCATCGCGTTAAGCGCGAGAGGTGCTGGATGGATCCTAGGGAAACAATAAATTGTTTCGGTCGGACAGAGCAGAGAAATCTAACTATTGGCCTGTTAAATAGTCACCACTGAAACGAACACAGTAGTGAGTTCGGCCCATGCACCGCAAGGGGGAAACGGGATGTCACCTTATTATATGATTATTATTCTAATACAAAATAATATAAGCACAATCAGACAGCACAATAAAAACTTAATACCCTTGCAGACAAACAAAAACTGGTGCAATTTGACGAAATAAATTCCGTATCTCCAAAATTCCGCTGCAAATTTCCAAAGAATCTTAATGGGAACCCCAAAAACGAATCGAGAAATGCCGGGGACCTAACGGTCTAAGTATCAGCTCGATTTGTGAGTGGAGTAGGGAAGGACGACACGTGCCGTGTGCGTTCGTGTGTAGTTCAGGATTTGTTAAACAGCTAACGATATGCTCTGAAGGGATATTTGAGGGTGACGCTTGACTTGGTTGTGGCGTAATGGTTTCATACAACACTGCGCAATTTCAAACGCACCCACGAAAATAATGAGGCGGTTCTTTTTTGAGATCAATGTTCAAATTGAATTTGATTCTTTACTGTGCCTTGTGCCTTACGCACATTAGAGGTATGGAGATGCTTTACCGGTCATTAAGGTTCCAAGGTCGTATAGATCCGGGAACATCGATAGTGACAACTGATTCCATTGAGTAGTGCGCTCTCTCGCGTAACAAAAAGGGATCAAAATTGACCGCTTTACGTATGAGATGGTGAATTGTGAAATCCTGTTTCCCCCTATGGGACGAACACGTTTCTGTGTTCGTTTCACAGGCAAATAGTTGTTTCCCTAGGATTCTAACCCAGGACCCTTAACGCAATCTTAACAACACGTTTAACAATTTAACTACAGAGGCGGTACGTCTTAGGTATGGCGTAGGGCAATACCTTTCTTTGTTCACATCAAGGCCGGCTGAAATAATTATTATAACTCCGGAGTCACGTATTTCTAAAAAATCTTAGTACCTTTCCATAGCAACTTGCTAATGACAATATTACTTAAAGATCAGTTCAAATACTACAAGTATTTTATTTAAGTCTTATGTGTGGTCGTCCGATGGCATGACAAACACTTTATGCCACTTCATATACCGTGACTCAGCATTTTGCTCTTACACGTTGATGTAATTTAGAAGGTCCTAATCCGATGTCAGATAAAGCTAATTTAAGCTGAATGCTGAAAAACAGTCTTGTTTCTCGTGGAATTACTAAAAACTGTTTAAACAGCGATAGTTTCGCACATTCGGTGTTTTTCATCTATAATAATAGTAAGGGATATTTTCTTGAATTGGCAGTTTCAATTTTGCAGATCCTCTAACTCTATTTATTAATACTGTCCTCGCGACTTCGCCCGCGTGGAATTCAAAATTTATTATAAACAGCTTTGCAAATTAAACTGTTACCGCGCTCGCGTCTCGTCGTTGATGTGTTGATGATCCCTCAAAGATGATTTTTTTTTCCATTTTACAACTTTTTCGCTGTATCTACGGTACTAAGTTTTCAATTCAAAACAGTAGCTCCTGAAGTGAGCGCGTTCAAACAAACAAACTCTTATGTTTTATAATGTAAGTATAGCTGGCTTATAAGTTCATTATATTTTACATCATAGTTTTATGAAACTTTAGAATTAAAACTTAAAGTACAAATATATTTATTAATTCGTCTATGTTTGTCACGTTTCTTGAAGAAACTGTTTTAGACGAATCGAACCAAGCTCAAAGACTACCTTAGCAGAATCCTTTTATTACTACGCTTCGCTGAAAACGGATGCTTTGCAGCAGCCGTCACACGGATATCACTAATATATACCGCGTTTTAATCTGTTAAAGTGTTATATTTAAGTGTAGCGTTTGCATAAGCTACAAAGACTATTTATATTATAGTTTTCCAATTCTAAATAGTT